AAATCAAAAGCCGACCTGGTTTTGAATTGGTTATACAAGTATGTGCGCGTGTGCCAATAAATGGAGGGGCGTGTAAACGATCTTGCTAGCGGAAACAGTTTCAGACTCATTGATTTTTGGCAAGCAATATGTCTTATTCAGAATGAGCATTTAATTCGTCATAAATTAAGATTAGACTACTTTAATCAGTTGTCAAGTGTTCAGTAACTCTTGATTAGAAAAGCGACATACTTGTACATACAAGAAAGCAATTGCACAAAAATATATTGTTATTATGGCTTTTGGTGGGTGTTGGTTTTGAATGTTGTGCCAACAGTCATAACTTTTTAATTGCTATGTTGCAACAGGGCTCAGAGTCATCAGTTGTCGGCATAAATGTGTAGTCCATAGGGACTATGAGGTCACTGTGTTGCCATCAAGACAGCATGTTTAATTAGTTTTTGTATGAACAAGCAAATGTTTATTACTTTTGTCGTAAAACTACTCATGTTACGCCCACAACTCTTCATGAATAATTGTCAAAAACGAGTGCACAAATCTATGAAGGTCTACTCGTTGTTCCCATTTTTTGTTTGAATAAAAATAATCAAAAAGTTAAATATGCTTTTTTTTTTGTCAACAAACAGCTCGATTGTTTGAGGTGTTTTTGAACTATTTCCAAATAGATGACATTTTTGCAATAATACGCTACGTTTTTATGTGCGTAGTGATTTATAAGAAAGTCGACTATCCACTGGATATACTTGTACATATTATACCCCATACCCGACGGTTAAGAATGATAAGTATATTAGATGAAAAGTAGTAAATGGCTTGAAGAAAACATCTCCGATTCCATTATTCTGCCTCCCAACTCTTAACATACACACACTATAAATTGAGGTCATGTCTTCAACATTCCGAGGCAACGAGGATTATATTTTTTTCGGAGAGGTTCCAGCAAGAAGGTAAAGGGACTTTATCGACTCCCGTTTTCATCCTTATCAAGAATATATATACTTCCAGACCTCATAAGAAAGATACACCTCCTACACCTTCTTCTGTGTGTAACAAACATGCGCACTAAACTAGTATACCTTTTGGGTACAGGGTATAAAAAAAATGTAATAAAATTACTTAGTCAGATATTAAGATGCTAAATGAAAGAGTGTCTTGTGGTCCACAATATTTTTAAAGTAGACATTTCTCAATTGACTGTAATCTATTAGAACATGTACGAGATCAAAAAAAAAAAAAAACCTGTCTTAATATAAAATCCCCAAACTTAATGTGAAGTTTCCGCTAAGCACAAACAAATAAGAGTTCATTGTATTGTGATCACACAAACATATACATACATAAGTACATAAATTTATATACAAGTATATATCTTTTTGTTATTTGTTTGATTTTTCACGAATGTTATATTCATGTGTTACCTTTTCTTCTCTTACAGGTAAAACAAATACCATCAGAAATGACATTAGCTATGATTGCGGCGTTTAATTAAATTAAATTCAATTTAAGTTCACAATTTCAATTGATTGTCTTTGTGGAAAAAATGAGAAGAAAACTCGTCAAACTCGGTGACTTGTTTGTCACAAAGATGGGGCGCATAAACATAAAGAGACAAAACACACACAATCAGAGCAATGAAAATGTTTTCCAGCTCAATATTGAGGCACATTTGGCATTTAGCTCTATATAAACAGATCGTTGTTTATAGATTGGTTCACATAACACGTACATACATACATAAGTACGATTATGTGTAAATATGTAGAGTACGAGTATATACAAATGGGAAAGCTGTCCATCCGAAAATCTGCATATTAAACTTGGGCCCCATATCTGCCTCTTGCACATCTCGCTTAACCAAACTTTTTTGTTTTTCCCTAATTTTGCGCACATGGAAAGCTTTTAAATAGATCTGTTCCGATAGTATGTATAGTACGTATATCGGCTCCTCTCTCATTTTTGGTTTTGTACTGCAGTTTGCGCGTTCGCCGCGTCGTGACATTTTTCTTTTCTGTTCGACATCTCTTTTTCGTTGCTACTTATAATTTAGGAATATATATACTCGTACATACATACTCGTATATATGCGTAAAGGCGATATGTGGATATGTGTGAGATATTAAAATATTTGTGTGTGTTTGTCGCAGAATTTTCGCGTCGCAGTATTTAGCGAACGCCTCGAGTTGCTGTGGATGATGAAAATACAAAGTCGCATATTTCGACAGTGAGCTCAAAAGATTGTTACAAAAAACCGCCTTCTCTGGCAAATCAAATGAAATCAGACCTAATAATGGCCTCACTAACTATGAATATGGTATTTCTAAAGGACCTACGCTCGCGTCTTAAAGGATATTTGCATGTATGTATGACGAGATAATACTTATATACACCACTACGTATATACGAGATATGTTATGTACAAATGTTTGTACATATGAGTATTATACATATTTCTTTGTTTAAGTAATATTAAAGAAAATAATATCAATCCAGTGGAATTTTATGTAACTTTTAAGCTGCCCAATTCATTTCTTATTAAAGGATATAGTGAAAAAGGAAGAGAGTGCCTTGAAAGCCTATCTACGTTCTTCCCTTTTTGCTATGATATCATATTATGACTTATGTATATGTATATTGTAGAATTTCAAAACAGCAGAATATTGAAAGTTCTGCGTTTACCGAGTGTATGGGACACATTTAAGAAAAGGAAAATTAATTTGAAACTCATCACTTTTTGAATACCCTCAATAAATAACCTATTTCAACAGAATCCCCGTACTATCTCTCTAGATTAGTCCCCTCAGTGAAAGTATGTGTCATTCCGCGTTAAATAAATTGTTTACATCCAGAAACTGTCTCATGCAATTACAGTAATTGACGATAATCTTAATTTTATGAACCGTGGAAAAATTGTATCTTGTGCGTTTTGACATTGAAGAGAATTGTTATGGTTAGGGTTTTGTTTATAGAAAGGCCACCAAAGAAGCACAATCCATTTGTTACTTTTAAATACTTAAGTATATAGGTGAGCATATAGCTGAAATAAACAATGTGTCAAAAAAATAAGAATTGGACTATAAACTAATTTGACAGAAGAACGTTATTAGGGGATTGTAGCTTCGAAAATTTAAGAATAATGAAATCTCATATTTGTGTTGGTATTTAGGTGTTTTGCCCATCTGGTCACTCTGCTTGTTATTTGATATGAAATAACGCCATTCTATAAACATAATGCTCAAGGACTTTAAATTGGCAAACCGCTTTCGCTCTGGTATTTGATAATAGCTTAGCATAACATATTGTTGTTGCTATTGTTCAAACAATAAATGTGTAGACACACACTTCCTTTTGTGGAGAATGTAGATTCGTACCGGAGTCTTTCTTAGTATTCAATACTTATTTACTGAGTTGAAACTAGTTTTCTCTAGAACTGGACAAAACTTTTGACTGTCAAATGAAGTTAATTGTTTGTCCTATATTTTTAGGTTTTATTATTATTATTTTATACTTGTGTTTTGGTATCTCTCTTCTCAAATTTTAAATGTTTACATTCCATATTTGTTATTGCTATTTGATTTGTCTGTGAATCGGAGCCGGAGACTGAAGTAAATTTCTAAACGAGTCGGATTCATTATTAAACATTAGCGCAGCTTTAAGATTTATATCTATCTATCTATAAACAAATCAGACAAACCCCAAATTGTTCGCAAAAAAGAAAAGTTATTTTTTCTCATTATTATTTATTATCTTCTATGCTCGCTTTAAGAAAAAATAATTTGAAATTTCACATGAAACACCATTTTTTTTACAAAACTCACCAGACTAGGCACTTATGGATGTACATTTGTATGAACGCAGTTCTTTGCAGTCTTCCAAGAGTTTCTCAGACGCTCATTACCATACTGTGGTGTCTTTGCTTCTTATATTATATCATGATGTATTTTTTAAAGTACCCGCTGTGACTGTGTTAGTTGTGCAATTTCTTTTCACACAGGTACGAGTAATACTTTTTACGTTCAGGTGCGAGTAACATTAGCGGTGTCTTCTTAGCTTGAGTTGCAGTCTTTGTCATTTTTATTTTCGCATCGTTTTTTATTACGCTGTTATTCAATCCTTTCCACGACATCCAAGTTATTTCAAAAATGCCATGATGGCCGATTCAACTTTATCACAATCACTATTGCGAATTACACAAAGCTTCATAACAATAAATTTACAAATATAAATATTCCATGTGTTTACTTAAACCCCAGATAAGTACTACAATATTTAGGAACACTTTTTAAAGAGATATCCCCTAAATAGTATAATCGTCAGGAGTACATACTGGAAACACCTTTTGTGTAAATTACTTATGTTTGGACCAATTGTGGTTGCCCAAATAAATACAACAACAAATGAACAATTGATTGAAAGACATGTTTTCTATTTCAATTCAATTGCATTTTTATAAACTCTCACAATTAGGGTTCTTCTGATTCGATAAAGTATTTGTGTATGTGCTTATATTGTTGAGAAGCTTCCCTGCGGATCTCAAATAGTACAGTACAAGATTCAAATATTTACATAAATATCGATGTACTCGTATATATACATATTGTGCCAGAGAATCACACAATTGGGATTTTTTATTATGATAATGAGATAAGACTATTGAAGAACGAATAGATTTTGCCATTTGCAGACCATTGTCCATAGCCACAAATTATCCATATATGCGAAATATGTATTAAAAATGTAATCGTCAATCAAATTTACGAGCCCAATATTGATAGCGATAACATACCAGTAAGGTAATAGCCAAATCAATCTCGTTTGTTGATAAACACTCTATTAGATGTGGAGAAGAATATGTTGGACATGTCGGATTTATTAGCTGAAGCTACGCTTTGATCGTTTTCAGCCAAAATGAAATTCAAATGATGTTGCGACATTTAATTATACTATTGAATCTTATTTAATCTCACATAAGTTTTTGTTTCATCTTTCCTTCCTACTTTCAGGGCGAATACATAAAGCACCCCGTTCTTTACGAACTCAGTCATAAATACGGCTTTACAGATAATCTACCCGAGAGCTGCATGCCAATACGCCTCGAGGAGATCAAAGAGGCCATACGTCGAGAGATACGGAAAGAGCTGAAGATAAAAGAAGGCGCCGAGAAGTTGCGCGAAGTTGCCAAAGATCGGCGCTCCCTAAGCGATGTGGCCGTACTTGTTAAGAAGAGCAACAGCAAATTGGCCGAGCTCAAGTCAGAGCTGCAGGAATTGGAGAGTCAAATACTGTTGACATCCGCCAATACGGCAGTTAACAGCAATGGGCGAGGTAAGCATCATAACTAGTTATTTGTAAACTAAATTATTTGCAGAGATAAGATGATGGAGAGATGATAGGTAGATGATAGAATGATCTATAGATAATAGATCGGTTGTCAGATCAATGATAGACGGATGATAGAAAGATTATAGATAAGTAATAGATATACATATAGATGATAGAAAGATGATAAATACTTATATCTTAGATAGATGTTAGTTATCTGAAAGAAGATGAGGATAACCAATATAATAATGTTACCCTAAAAAAGCTTATATACGTATATATGTAAGAAAGGGTTACACATTTTAAAAAGTTAGCAGAACAACGTTCTTCAGTGTCGGACAACTTGCTAAGTTGGGGGAGCTATAACAGGAATTTGTAGTTTCGTGGTCTCAGGTAGCCTAAGCAGTGACAGAGTTGAGTGTACGAGTATATTCCACCAAAAAGAAACCTTGACGTTGTACCTTTAAATGATAAAGAAGACTTTAATACTAAGCCAAAGAATCTATTGCCTTATTTTAAAACATAATTTAATCTTATTTATATCATTTACAGATTCCGTGCTATCGAACATCTTGTCGAGCGGCGCTGACGGGTCAGTCATGCACCCCGGCTCGGGCGGCAGCAAATCCGATGGCGCACCAGCTACGCCGAATGACAAAGTGCTGGCGTCGCTGGAAAAGCAACTGCAGATCGAGCTCAAAGTGAAAACAGGTGCAGAGAATATGATTCAGTCGCTGGGCATTGGCTGCGATAAAAAGCTTCTGGCTGAGGCTCACCAAATGCTAGCAGACTCCAAGGCGAAGATTGAATTTCTTCGCTTGCGCATTATTAAAGTCAAACAGAATCGAGAACAGGCTGATAGGTTAAAAGCGGCGCGTTTGATAACCGATGAGAACGGTGTAGTCATTGCTACGGCGCCCCAAAGCTTAGAGACAACCCAGGAGGAGCGCATTGAGGAGCTGCGTCATCGGTTGCGCATCGAAGCTGCCGTGGTTGATGGCGCAAAGAATGTTATCCGCACGCTACAGACAAATCGGGCGCCGGACAAAAAGGCCCTTCAAGAGGTACGTAACCAAATATTATGAATAGAGAACAATTTATATTTTAAGAAAATTCAGGTAGTTTATAAGCTATCGGTGATATATACGTAGAAAACGATGTCTGTCTGTTTTTATTTCGAATGCACCAGGCACTGGTCGGTCTATGATTCAGTTTCTACAATATGTCGCGTGCCTCTGCTTTTAAGTTTTAAATAAAAAGTAGGCTAATTATGCATTTGCCGAAATATAAGTATGTATGTATGTAAAAGTATTTGAGTTTTTCTTAACAGCATACTGCACCACTCGAAGTGCACCATGCCTGCCTGTTTATGCATTTAGGACCAAGCTGAAGTTCATTTAGTTAGATTCCTGAAAAAGCCGGGACTAGCTTATACAAAACGAGCTATACTTTGTTTGTTCTTTATACACACATGATTGTGATATTTTCAGTAGTAGTTAAGCTCAGATGTTCACATTAATAATACTAGCGAGTGTTTGCTTGAAGTTGAATAAAAGTACATACATGATATAGGTAACATTTAATACCAACAACGATATCAATGAGCAGCAGGCTTCAAAACCAACGCTGGATTTCCGGGGAGAGTTGGGATCAGCTGGTTGTTGCGACTGAAGAAACATAAAGGCTATTAGTTCTGTACTCACATATCTTTAAATTCGATGAGACTGAACCAAAAGAAAGTCTGGGAATCCCCAAATTAGCGTACACAGGTTTTCAATATATATAACTAATGAAGCTTAGAACTTCCTAAACTCGTCTTTGTAGCACAAATGAGCTCCATCGCTAGTTTATCATTTGGGGCCGACGATAATATTTCTTTTCGCACATCATTACCACCGTAAAGGGTATGCAAATTTCATTTATCTATCTCCAGTAGTGTGGGATGTGCGTGTAGACTACTTGTATGCATGAATGAATCAGTGAGGACAGATTTATATATGTACATACCTATAAAAAAGAAAAGTACAAGTATAAGTAAGTGAACATGTGCAGATTCATTTTTCCTTACACTTTACTGTGCTCAGCACCATGAAAGCCATCTGTTCACACATTTCAAAAGAGTACCACGCGGTCTGTTGCTCAAATGCCAAATGTTAGAAAACGGCAGAGCGGAAATTTTGGTTTCTAATGCAAGCAGCCTCCCGATTTAGTTTGTTTTCAGTTGTCGTAGGCAACGCGTGCGTTATATTCTTGGCGTGCTGCCGCCGCATACGCGTTTGAAGCGAGTAATTTTTATTTTTGTCGGTATTTGTTTTCGTTTTCGTTTTTTTTTTTTTTTTTAACTTTAAAAATATTCATACATACTCGTATATTTGAACGTTTTGAAATACGTTAAAGGGCATTGGCAAAGTCTTTGACGAGGGCCATAGAGTCACACACACACATCATGTATACGCAGTGGGGCACTGGGCATTCAGCTAGATATTACTTATACGCCATGTGTTTACACGCACTTTAAATTTGGATTTAGAAGTTAGTCGAACGATCGTGTTTGTCGTGGCTATTATCAGATTATTGCATAATTTTTACAAAGTTGCAAAGTTCTTTCTGAAAATATTGTTTCTTGTTGTGGCTGATATTTGGCTTTTGGGGTCATCTTGCAATGTGTATGAACATTAAAGACGTTTAAAAATAACCTGAAATAAAATTAGAAACACAATTTACAAGCGAAACTGAAAGTATTTTAGTCGTGTGTGTAGACACAAGTGTGTAGTGCCAACGTCATTGATTGTTCTATGAAATTCAAAATATAATAAAAGCACCACAAAAACAACAAACAAAAAATCTATATGTATGTCCATTCATACATACATACATATATGCATATATTAAAAGATACATATATACATACTTATTAATAAATTAATTTGAAAGCGGTTCTCTACTTTCGTTTTAATAATGTTTATTAAATTTTGTCGTGTTAGTTGTTGGTAAAAAAAAGGCGACAGTAATGTGTCTTTTAGCATATTTTTAGCAAAATTATATAAAAAAGAAAAAAAACGTTAGCCAACGCATTTCAACGCTAATCTACATATGTGAACGCATGTATGAATGCTATCTAGGTGTATAGTATATATGTATTTTTTGTGTGTATAAATAAAATAGTTGCCGTGTGCATATAATAAATGAATGCTGCCAGCAAATTACATTTTGTACACGCGCGGCGCGTCATAAATCCGATTAAAACGTGTTCCTCCGCGGCCAATATGTAAGCAAACGTCAGTGCCAGTAATAAATAAAACGAAAAAGTGAAGATGAGTGCAAATACGTCCTCTGCAACCCTGCCTCCGACCGCAGACAGTAGACGACCGCCTTTGCCTCATGAGCTTACCGCCGAGTGGACCGTACGCGCTCAGCTGAAATTTGCGCGTGCCGGAGAACAAGTGCAGCGCGAATATAGTACAGATGATCCGCTGCAGCCCGTACGGGTGGTGTACAAGTGGTCGGCGCCCTGCGAAGATCCTGAGGAGCATCTGGATGATGTATCTACATCGTCAACATGCAAACAATCCACAGGGAATAGTAGGTCCGAGCTCAAAGTAAGTCCCACATGCTGCCTGTCGAGCGGTACTTAATTCTCAAATTGTTCGCAGGCGGGAACAGCCACGGGCACTAGTTTTCGTTCGGTCAGCTCATCGATCACTAATCCGGACGGCGGTGTTGATTCCGCCTTTGGCAGTCCACAGACATCGCGGCATCAGCGTGGATCACGACAAACGCCGACGCCGACATCAGCGGGAATGTGTGGCACACGTTGTCGAAGCTCTTGCAACATTACTATATCAGCTGTGGCGGATTTCTTGCCTCAGAATGAAGGACTTACCGACATAGAGCTTAACGTCGAGCACGAACCATCCCTTTATGGCACGACCGTTCCGCCAGAACAGGTAATACGACCTGGTACATTTTTTCCGGTCAATACTAATGCAGTACCTACAACAGAGCTTTCCACCGTTGGGCAAGATTCTCGCATTACGTGATGCCTTCTCACAGACTAGCGATACGGAGACAAAGTACTTTGAGGAACGCCGTCGTCCCTATGAGCAGCGACGTGCCACAACCGAGGCACTCATGTCATTCGCCAACAAACGGCATGCGGAGGAGGCTAACTCTTATGTGGTAATGCCAAAGCTCCCTAAAAAGAGAATAAAGATATATAGAAAAGCTATCAAGGAAAATTTAAGCCCTCTATACATTTCAATTCTCTTTTCGTACCTGCAAAAACTTAATATGTAATGTCTAATAAGCTATGTATTGTTTACAGCCACCCTACTCGCCATCACCAATGACACCTTCATCGACCTTTAGGTCTACGTCGCTGCCGCGTATTCCGACGCTGCCAAAACAACACATGGCACCTGGTTGTACGCCGCAACAGCAATCGCTATTGGGTGATCAACAGCAGCAGAAGAAACCCCGTACTGTGCACATCGACGTATATTGCACTGGCTCGGAGGATGATGAAGTGCAGGCAGATGGCGAAGCTTCCAGTTCAGACACGGATGGAAATGAGGGCAGTAGGCGCTACGATTTAGACTCAAATTCCACAAGACAAACGGTGCTGGACAATGAACAAATGTTGCTGCGTCACAAACGAGTTTCTGGTGGTGCTTTACCACGTCGCCTGGCGCATCCAAACCGTGGCGCCCAACAGGGGGCCACATTACAACCAAAACATTCAAAACCGTCTGATCTAAATCTTGGCCATGCCATTACAAAGTCCAGCACAGCCGAAGAAATATCTGAGTCCAAGCAACTCCTCTTTCGAAAGCACATTGGTGACCAGCGAGCCGCCAAATTAGTCAATCTACGCCAGAAATATATGCGTCAGCCCAGTGATGACACATTGAGCAGTGTCTATCCAAACTCTTCGCGCTCAACTGTGCCACTCGATGCCACCTGCAGCAGTATTTCCAGTGCAGTGCCGTCTACCTATGCCGCAGACAACGTGGAGACATCTTGGAAAGAGACGGATGAGCCTGAAGACACAACCGACTATGCGTTGACCAAGTCGAATAGCTTTGATTATGAGAATTCGTTAGATCGACTGCGCATTAAGCAAATGGAGCGACAATGGTCGCGTCAGCATTCGTCGCAGCAGCCGACGCCTGCGGCGTCACCCACCTGCGCCCCACCAGTTCAATCACCGCACCTGCAGACCATCTCAGAAGTGCAATCACAGCGCGACTCTCCGTTTTCTAGTTCTTTTCAACGCAGCGACACGCTGCCTTCTGAGTCCGACGCTTTTTCAGACACCAATGTTTTTCACGCCTATCCCGGCCGAGCGTTGCACAGTGAGGCGTCACGACAGCTGCGACAACATGTACTTCCAATGCAGGAGCCTTCTACGGCTGCTTCATCGCAGCCTGCCTACTTACATCAATCATCGCACTTTCCACGTAACCGGCCAGGGTTTCTTCAGTTCTTTGGCCCTCAAAACCAGACGCAAAGGGGTGCAGCGCCAACGTCAGGAGTTGGGAATGCCACACTGGCTAATACCTCGCAACTGAGTCCTAATTACTCACCCCATTTTCAACGCTGGAAGAGTGAGGCGCGTGACAACCTGAGCCTAAACGCATCCTCATTGTCGTCATTGGAGCAAAGCTCGCAGCAATTGCTGTCTGTGGCCACAGTTGTACCCTCGAGCCTCATACGGAGTGGCAGTGAGGCGCCACCCACGACCACATCAGCAGCCACATTCAACATATCCTCGATATCGCCTGTACCGCAGATTCCCCGTCGCTTTGATATATCACGTGAGAGTCCCTGCATCCCCTCTATTGCGTTGTCTGGCTATACGAACGAACATCTAGAAAAGGCATTGAGGTTTGGCAATGTAGTCGCCGTGCGTAAGCCGGGCCATCACGTCGGACCTACCAAGAATCCAAATTGTCAATGTGAAAGCTGCCAGCGTTGGCTAGCCGAGCGTTTTTATGTTCGTGGACGCGCCTTCTCTTTAGGCGAGCGACCCGTGCTGCGTCGAACCTGATTTACAGAGAGAAGTGGAACCTCACTTTTGCCCTGGATAGTTTTATATTTCACTTGCATTTAATAACATAACTTAACATAACAAATTAACTCAACCAGCCCAATTGTTTTGCCTAGAATTATGTCATCGACAATGTTCCTTTCACAACAGAATGTGCGCTGAATCAATTTATTTAATTGTGTCTTAATAAAGTAGTCTTTAAACGAATCATTATCGTTGTCTTTTGAATTTATTTAATGAGATGAAGGAAGTGTTTTTTTGAAAAAAATTTGATTTACCAATTTATATTCGTTCGTTTACTTTTACAGGCACATGGCCGTTTATCTGAGTCCTCTCGAAAACTTGATCTCTTGCGCTATTCCCTGGACTTGCGGCGTCATGAGTTGCCTCCAGACTCGCCCGCGGCTCTATTGCTAAAGACCGAACTTCAGATTGTACAGCAGTCTACCTCGCCGGCCCCGGTAACGTATACCTCGTTACAAGGCAGTCAGGGTGGTCTATATAGTGGCAAGCCATACCAATCAGTATCATCACTGGGTCGCTGTGCCAGCGTTACCGGTAAATTGGAGGTACGTCTTATGGGCTGTCAGGATTTGCTCGAAGATGTGCCTGGCCGTTCGCGGCGCGACAAGGACAACACCTCCAGTCCAGGCGATTTGCGCAGTTTCGTTAAGGGTGTCACCTCGCGCAGCAGCTCTAAAAGTTACTCCGTTAAGGATGAGACTTCCACGGAAATTATGGCCGTTATCAAGTTGGACAACATTACGGTGGGTCAGACATCATGGAAGCCGTGCTCACAACAGGCCTGGGATCAGCGCTTTTCCATCGATCTAGACCGTTCCCGGGAGCTCGAGATTGGTGTCTATTGGCGCGACTGGCGTTCGCTTTGTGCCGTCAAGGTGCTCCGTCTCGAGGAGTTTATTGATGATGTGCGCCACGGCATGGCACTACAGCTGGAGCCGCAAGGTCTTCTCTTTGCGGAAATCAAATTCCTTAATCCAATGATATCACAAAAGCCGAAGCTGCGACGCCAGCGTATGATCTTCAACCGGCAGCAAGCCAAGAATATACCGCGTGCCAAACAAATGAACATTAATGTGGCCACCTGGGGTCGTCTGCTTAAACGAAATGCTCCCAACCATGTGCACCTTAGTGGTGGCTCTGGCTCGTCTGTCCCCACAGGCTTGCCGGGGGCCGGAACCCGTGATTCTGAATCACCCATATCGCGTACTCCCTCTTCGGATGCGCTGGCTGAAGAGCCTGAGCCGTATTCTCCCGGTGAGCAAGCGCAAAATATGGAATACGATCCCGATGCGGGTCTGCACGAACATGTGGAGACCCCAGGCGAGTACCCAGATCCCGATATGAGCGGACTTAGTGGAATGCGGCCTCTGTCAATGCATGGCGTCAACGTACTGCCGCCTGAATCTCCTTCCGTGGCCACAACTTCGGCGGCAGCTTCCTTTGTACCAACCAGCAACAGGCCAAATTCGCTTCATTTACAAATATCGAACAAGTCACAGGCTACACAAGGGTCTAGCAGGACTCCGCCAACAACAGCGCCACCACCGCCTCCATTGGCAAAGGCTACTCCCTCGCCCACGGCAATAGATCAAGAGGTAAGTGCATCGCGCTACTCCGCTAACGTACAGCTCTTTAATGCTACTCTTATAATTATACTTTGTACATTCTTGTCATATCCATATCATTTGACGAGCTCCCGCTTAAATTGTACAGAAAATATCACCCCTCCAAATATGCATATTTATGTATATTTCAATAAACTTGATCCTGTAGCTTAATTCAGCGCCAACTCCAACTCTGATAATCCTTGTATCTATATAGATGTTATCCTTTAATGACTACCTTTGGTGTTGGTTTTTCGTTTCGATTTTCATTTTTTAACGATTTGTATTTATTTATTATTTACCGTCTTGAAAGAATTATACATATGTTTGAGTACCTGTGTAGGCGGGCCGTGTGGTCAGACATGCAAATAATTTGCATACACATTTTTTTTTTTCAAGTAGGCTTTAAATAGTAAATCCCGAAGAAGCTTGTATGTTATTTTCGGGGAAATTATTTGCCTGTCTGACCATAGCTAATGCGATGTTTTTTAAAACGACGAATATAGGAAGTCTAGCCTCCAAATCACAAGATTTTCATTACCAAGGAAGTAATGCTAAGCTTACTCCCTATATTATAACAAATGTTGGCATAGGTATAATTCTTTTATTACATAGAAATAGATTGTACGTTATCTTATGTGTTGTTGACGAACTGTTTAATCTACAAATCGCAATCCGATGCTACGAACTGAATGTGACTGACAATAGGTGGCAGCATTGAGAAGTAGGCTTTATTTACATTAGATCTATTATGTATGCACATCATTATAAGCTCATCGCATGCAAACACATACAGCTTTTTGCTTGATTCATAGTTGACATCATACTCTTCTGCTCTTTGAATCATGACATTCAATTGTCCTGTCCACATTTCAAAAGAAAGCAGAATACATCCACAACGACAGTGTCCTCACTATTGTCCTTGTTGGGATGGATCTGTGTTGTCGTTGTTACTTCGGTGTGTGTGTGTGTCGCTGTGCGGGTGTTTGTCATGGTGCACAACATTATCAACACTCTGTGTTTATTCTTTTTCCGTCACTCGCCCTCTATTCCCCACTCACTGTGTGTGTTTTCATCTGTTCGTGCGCTTGGCCATGATTTTGTTAACCGCCGACAGTTGCAGGAAGCATTAGAGGCATTTGAATTCCTCTCTGCTATGGACTCACATCCGAACACACTTCGCCGGCCCCACCCAGAGTGGCACACGGAAAAGCTGCAGCTCGAACAGCCGGAAACATTTGGGGAAAACGAGCAACGAGCATTGTCACGACCACTTCAATATGATGAAAAACACAAAAGCCTTGGGGCACAGCGTTTTAGCGAACCGAATGCGCTCGAAACATCGCAGTGGCTTGCCCAGCATACTAGTCAGTCAGAAATAATACGCCAGCCGTCCATGGCGTCCAGCCAAATCTCTCCAATGCCCCCCCATGTCGTCGGCAGCAATGAAACATTAACCATTCTATCGCCCGCCCGCTCAAGCGATTGTAATTGTTTTGAGATGAAGTTACCAATACGCGAACAATTTCAGTTGCAGACCGAGAAACATCCTCGCGCCCTGATGCGCGTCGATGTTGAGCCACAAAAGTCAATCAATTCTGTGGATCATCTGCTGCACCGTCCAGTCCTAACGCTGCCGCCAGTGCTCCTTGGCGGACGCAGTGCCAACGATGAGGATCCAATGCCACCATCTCCGGCACCCAGCACTATGCCCCTAATCGAGTATCCCGATGACGACGACGATTATTGCCTTAATGCTGACACAGACCGGGCCAATCGCCTGATTACTGAGATCAGCCATAGTTCCAGTGCGATTGATCGAACCTGTGTAGAGGTTAGGTGGTTTTCATTTGTTTTTTCGCTTTGGGGTTATTATATATTTTGTCTTTTAACATTTTCCACTCATGAAAAGCACTCATAGTATCAAGGAATGTAGATGCAATTAATACTTTTCAAATAAAAATAAAATTTTACAGAAGGAATTATTTAAATATTTAAAAGTTTCAAACCTTTTAGAAATCTTTTCACAATTTTACGTGTAACTATTTGAATAATTTGGAAAGGACATCCCAATGACAAATCCTTCCCTATTATTATTATTTTTAAAAGTAAACAATTTCTGGATTTTAACACATTTCTGAATTCAATGGAAAATGAAGCATGTCTACCCATTAAGATACTATGAGAGCAAGAGTTAATTTAATTAGAATTTACGTTATTATACTTATATTAAGTTCTTTAAAGTCGATAAATCGTTTAGAAAACAAAGAATCGCGAGAAAGTATGCCATGAACGAATGCCATGGACTTAATTATAAATTGAATGTTTAATGATCGTACGTTTATTGGTTCTGTTTAACTGACACCTTTAATGTATTTAATTTGTAATATATGTTTGTTTTCTTTTCTTGATTTGTTGCTCAATTTGCTTCACTTAGTTAGCTAATTGTTTAAATGCAATCGCTTGGTAACTAATTGTGCCGTTCTTGTCCTCGCACGTGATTGTCCAAACCCACACAAAAATAGAAAATCAACGTCGTGCACGATATATTCAGACATTTTATCAAACTAAACTATAAGGACTAACTCATATCAAGATCATCTCAATTATTTTTACTACTACACTAACAGAGTTATTATATAATTAACTAGAGCTGCAAATAATGTGCACATAACCGCTTGTCTTGACTCAGCAATTAAATTTTACTAAACTCTAATATGTAGATATAATATTATACAAAAAAGGCTCTGAATAATAACATTAAATTGGAAAATAATCTTATATCATGATAAACACAATTACACAATCACAATCCCAGTCCGTATTCCAATAACAATAGCTGGCTAGTGTCTACCTTTGGAAAGTGTAGAAATGATCATACATGTGAAAATTTGAATAATATGTAGAGGCCAACAGACTTTCAGCAAATGCATAATTCTGCGCAAATTCAGCATTATATTAAAGAAAAATTTAAATATAGCATTTCAAAATATATACGTGTTTATTGTCAACAGAAGAAGAAAATAAGAAAGCAAAATGTTAGCATTAAAGGAGAGGAAGGCGAGAAACAGCGTGCCACTTCACGTGCCAATTGTCAACTTTCACAAATATCATTAATACTATATATGTTTGTATGTATATATATAATGGTCAATATTTCCACGCTGACGTCACATGGCATGACTGTCACAGAAAGCCTTTTCTTCGAAAGTAAACGCATACTTAGTCGCGACAATATATGGTAGAAGGTACTTGCGCTCTAGAATCTGAATTCTCTTGAGTGTTGTTTACAGCAGTTTTTAGCCAAAAGACGCAAAAATGTTAAACGGTCCGTTCGGTGGCCTTTGGTCATGACATTTGCATTTTACGGCTTTCAGTTTTATTTTCCCACTTGTAGACCGTGTTCGTGCCAATAGAATTCGCGCAAATCGAATTTTGAAGGCTCGTTGCGCTTCATCTCACTCTTTCTCTCTCTCGCTTGCTCGCTGTCTCTCTATTGCTCGGACAATATAATGCTAAGATGTGTCAACGTCGGCATTTAATGCACTATTCAGCACCATTATGATATTACCAACATTTAACGTGCTCTCACAAGTTGTGCGTCAGATTTGCGCAATGCGCATGCAACCTTTGGGCAATTATCAGCAAAATTTATCGATGACGGGGTCACCAGTTCAAAATGTTTTGTTATGTCCAGCATTGTGCAACAAACCGCTGTCAACATTCCTGCCACCAGCACCACCCAGCACCATCAGTCCAGTACGTGTCAATCATAATTGTTTGTGCTTTGTGTTTCCATCTATGGTGTGCAAAACAATTGTTTTTCTGTCAATAAACCGCTCTGACGCCCCTGATGCATATTACAAGTATAAAAGAAATACATCTATTGCAGGCTCAAATCAATCTTGTACATATAACTCTTGAACCCATCCGAACAATTATCGCCCCTACTACGGCGACAGAAACAGAAACCGTAATCGTAACCGAAACCGAAACAACGGCGCCTAATTGTGTTACCGAGGAGCTTGACACGGCGTCAATAGCGTCAGCAGCAGGTTCGCAAATAATCGAAATTGTCTTGCCAGAAACCATACAAGAATTTCGCAGTGCGCCTTCAAAAGAGACAGAACAAATACGTATAGGAAATGAAAATGAATCAGCCGTGGTGGCGCAGGTAAAGTAAAGTTGGGGTGGAATGGCAACGAAACATCCGATCATTATTAATTATTCAGAGCTCTTTTTTTTTAAATTAATTAATAATTGAATGTCTACACTAACATGCGCTCGCCCTAGTCTAAGACTTTAGTTTCCTTTTGCGTTGTTATTAAATTGAAAAAAAAAAAATGCCGTTTGTTTGCTCGTTTTATTTCACGCTGCAAACAATTGTCCTCCACTCTCCCTTCTCTCACTTCCTTTCTTTGTCACAGATAATTCCACCACTGGGCAAGCTTCATGTGGGCAGCAGCAACAATAATCAGCAGCAACAGTTAACATTTGTGCAGTCATCGCCGATTATACAGGAACCACCCACACCCACCATTTATGGCAGTAAACCGACCGCTCCGCAGTTCCCACAGCCGACACAGCGTGGCCAACAAGAAAAGCAGCAGCAGCAGCAGCAACAACAACATAAGCAGCAACAGCAGCCCATATATGCCAATCAATACGAACTCAATGTGGCCAAAGCCGCTGCAGCAGCTTCCGTTTACACCCCAGCATCATCCTCAAGCGCTGCTCAACAACGTCGCAATGTTGCACGTGGCCTACAATATCGGGAAGCCGCAGCTTCTAGCGAAGCACGGCAGTCGATGCAGTCTGGCATGCTCTCCATGGACAACTTCCGTTTGCTGAGCGTGCTCGGTCGGGGTCACTTTGGCAAAGTCATTCTGGCCCAGCTCCGCACCAACCAGCAGTACTATGCCATCAAGGCGCTCAAGAAGGGCGACATCATAGCCCGAGATGAGGTCGAATCACTGCTCAGTGAAAAGCGCATCTTTGAGGTGGCCAACGCGATGCGGCATCCGTTCTTAGTCAATCTATACTCGTGCTTCCAGACAGAGGTGAGTTTTGCACTCGAAAGGTGCTTACACGCATTTAAAGAAGATTTAAAGTTTACTTGAATATAATTGCTATTATCTCTAAAGAAAAAGATTAGGTCCCTTTGTGATATTTTGTATTCAAAATATGTGTTTCCTACTGGGACATGTTCCATATAGACTTGCCTAACAATTGCCTTTATGGTCCTCTTATTTGGTAATATATCTCTTGCTTGCAGAGTTTACCTCTTAATATCCTGCGAAGCTACTAAAACAAAAATTGCTGGTTAGCTTAAATAATGATATGCTAAGATAGGATAAACCTAGCGATACAAGCAGATAGGAGTATGTCCGTCTGCTTCATTGAAAACTACTCTTCATATACAACCAATATTCAAAGATTAACCAAGTAACAAGCGCCTAGCCCTCCAAGCTATACAGAGCCAAATAGTTGTTATAGAATGAATTTTCCGTCCAAAACTTCTTCATTGTTAGTAGGTGAGTTTCACATTTCTCGGTGGAATCGTGAACTCATTTCTTTAAATGAACTACAAACGGATATCCGGTCATGTCTGCAATTCGAAAAAATAATTATTGCGCACATGTAATGTTATTTTCTTTTGGGTATGCTGTGTTTTTTAGTTAATTAATTAGTTTAAGTGCAATATACAATTATTATTATTATGTAAAATGTATTTTTCATCGCTAGCAACACGTGTGCTTTGTAATGGAATACGCAGCCGGTGGAGATCTGATGATGCATATACACACGGATGTGTTTTTGGAGCCACGTGCTGTCTTCTATGCTGCTTGCGTCGTGCTAGGACTACAGTATTTGCATGAGAATAAAATAATCTATCGCGATTTGAAATTGGATAATTTGCTGTTGGACACGGACGGTTATGTGAAGATAGCTGATTTTGGTCTGTGCAAGGAGGGCATGGGCTTTGGCGATCGTACGGGTACCTTCTGCGGCACTCCTGAATTTTTGGCACCCGAAGTCCTAACAGAGACTTCGTACACTCGTGCAGTGGATTGGTGGGGCCTAGGTGTGCTGATCTTTGAAATGCTGGTTGGAGAGGTAAGTAAAAACGTCTTAGCATATATTTAGTGGAAATGAATGATCGATCTAACAATATTTTTGTTTTTGTACAGTCCCCCTTCCCGGGCGACGATGAGGAAGAGGTATTCGATTCGATTGTTAATGATGAAGTGCGCTATCCGCGTTTCCTCTCACTCGAGGCCATAGCCGTAATGCGAAGGGTAAGTAAATTATTATCAATAATATACAAAAGCTAATGCCAAAAATCTCGTCAATAATTGCAGCTATTGAGGAAAAATCCAGAGCGCCGACTGGGCTCATCGGAACGTGACGCAGAGGATGTCAAGAAACAGGCCTTCTTCCGCTCAATTGTGTGGGATGATTTGCTGCTAAGGAAAGTGAAGCCACCGTTTGTTCCAACAATTGTAAGTTTTTCTTTTGTTGGCCTTGACATCCAATATATATATTTCTGGTTTTTATGCTTGTCATGCAGAACCATTTGGAGGACGTTTCAAACTTTGACGAGGAATTCACATCTGAGAAGGCACAATTAACACCACCAAAAGAACCGCGCCATTTATCCGAAGATGAACAATTGCTCTTCCAGGACTTTTCATATACGGCGGAGTGGTGTTAATTCCTTACTTATCAATAATAGGCGTTAGAATTTTTGCTGGACTCCAAGTAGTAATTACTAGTTCTCTGAAATGTGCCTCACTATTGGTGTAGTGTGTTTGTGTTTACCAGCCAGTACTAAAAGCTACACATATAGACCACATATAGACCCCGCAAAGCTCATCAATCGTAAATATCTTTATTAGTTAAACTGATAGATAATTTATAAATTGCTTAAGTCCAGTTAAAATTATGAATACGTTTAATATAAAATATCCTTACGTTAGTATATACAAGTACATATATATTTAAACAGATGTATTTACCGTGAGAGTGTTGCTTTACATGTGTCTACATATTTGAGAATATTCAATATAATAGGGTGTTTTGTACGATGCCTAAAAGTCATGGTCTCGGATCAGTTATATTGTTAAAACTGCCTGTTTACAGATGCGTGATATAAAGTAGATTTCACGTAATCCTCCATTAAATGCGTCAATTCAGTATTTTTAGAATCGAAATCAATGACTTTTAGGCATCCTACATGAAATCTATATCTATATTATTGCCACGCTTACATGCTGTGGCTTATCAAAGAAAGCATTTTCCTACAATCAGTCATTACATCACGATCTATGAAGTTTCAAACCCCAAAATAGAAATCATGTCAATAAATAAGTTGTCACATGATCAGCATTAATATTTATGGAGGACGACAGACAGGTAGTAGTTTTCAGTAAATGCATTGAATAGTCTGATAACTTTTGAAAGCCTTATATGCAATTTTTATAGTTTTTGGACAGATTTTGTAAAGAGGGTTATATTTTATAGAAGACAGATATACAAAGCTACTTTACAAGCGATAGAAGAAGTAACGAAGAAAATGTTGTTGCGAAAAGAGAGATATAAACTTATATATTTTTCATATATTTCTGTTCAACATAACCATATAAGCAAGCACATCAAAGTTAAACATATGAATATATTTAAAATTTCATATACATAACTTATTTTAATCCGCAAAATGGAAAGATAATTATTTATATGCACATGCAAGAGATATAACATATTAATACTACTAATCAATACCACTTATATACCATTTATATACACGTACATGCATATCTATGCACCGAGAACAGATCTATATTTTAAATTGTATATTCGAGCGTTTGGCAACTCATTTGCCAAGCGTCTAAATTGTAATATTTTAATGATATACATACATACATATACATGAATGCTTATAAAATTGTTATTTATTATTGTACTTCTAAAATTAATTGCTTTGAGCATTTTTATGAATTTTACGATCGAAAATTTTAAACTAGAAGGTTCAATTGCATGCAATCAATTTGTTTTACAATTAAGAAATATTTTTATTTTAATGCTTTATTTAAATTAGAATGCCTAATTATATACACAATTTATGTTTTAATTATAAATTTGATTATGCGCCTTCAAGCTAATCTAAGAACCATGCGGAAACAATGTTATTTATGCAGCTCTGCAGTACCAATATTCATAACATTTATTGAATAAATATATCTACAACATATGTAATAAGAATGTATGTATACCTATATCGCTTGTTTGACTTTTTTGATCTGAATATGGTAAGTCCTTTTAACCCAAACGTCTGCGTTCCTTTATCATGATTCTTAAATCGCTCAATCACGATCTTATGAAATTGAGAGACCCATGTGGGATGTGAAAGGCCGTTCTTTATTTATGAGATAATTAAATTAAATTATAAAGCCAATTCTGTTTTACTTCAAACTCAAATTTGTTATTTGCAATAAAAAAGGTAAATACACTAAAAAAAAAAGAACGATTGCCCCCCCGTGAGAATACTCCTTTATATTGGAATATTGCCGAGACCAGGATTCGAACCTGGGTTGCCACGGCCACAACGTGGAGTCCTAACCACTAGACGATCACGGCTGTTGAGCACTGATGAATCAAGCCAGCAAATTGCTATTTTTGTTTGTTTACAAAACATAGAGCAGTTTGATCAATTTCACTTCAAGTCTTTTTTTTTTAGAAAATTCATATGTTATATATTTGATAGTGTATCAAAGCAGTATACATTATTATTATTTTTTAAATTTTATGCTACGGAATAGGCTTACAGAATTAGCCATAACACGACAGTTTGCGATTTTTTAGATAAGAGACCACTCTTACAGAATTTTTAAACGGCAAGTAATTTTGAAATCATGCTTTATTAGATGATGGGTAGGTAGTATATATTATTGAACTTTTATACAAACGACAATATTAGTTTTGTTTTGTGCAAAAAAGGATTTGAAAAAATATTAATATTGATTGTATTTATTATATGATGTTAATTCTATATTACAAATTGATTCTCTCACCTTTTTGAAATCGACTACATCGGCTTATAACAATACCATAATAAATGAGCTTTTATTTGACACGAGAAGGTAGAAGCTTAAAGCTCAAATACATCAATGCATCAGTAGTGTACAACCTAGCTTAATAAATAAATATAGCATTATGCAGCCCAGTTACACAAGTGCCCAACAGCCGTGATCGTCTAGTGGTTAGGACTCCACGTTGTGGCCGTGGCAACCCAGGTTCGAATCCTGGTCTCGGCAATGCTCTGAAAACGAGGCATTCTCACGGAATGGGCACAATTTTACTTTTTTTACTTTTTCCGAGTAATTTCTTATAAACATCTTAGATAAATAATTTAATTATTTAAAAAGAAAACACATGTATATTATTACAATTTTGGTAATCTAATAATATAAACATACATACATGCGTATATCTATCCCATACATGCAAATAATAGCTAAATAAGCTAATGATCATTGCTTTTCTAATAGCTTATTTGAGATTTGGTAATATAGAATGTTTGCAGTGTTATCTACAATGGCCAAAAATGTGATGCTGCAATTAGAAAGAAATTGTACACACTGCAGGCAAGCGATTTCAAATTAAGCTCACCTACTACTCAGTTTTTGTTGAAGATTATTCACTAATGTAAAGTCGATAGATTTGGAGTACAGTGTGGGTAGGAATGCCACAAGACGTCCATCTTCATATTGTGACCATAAATAAACAGCCTCCAAATCCTTATCGTAGTCGATTTTAATATTTGTTAGATTATTATCTGTGAGAATGAGCTAATTAATTTTGGTAAAATACATACATATATTCCTAATATAATACCTTTCATTAAATCAGTGCAAACTTGCTTAGCTAGAGCTGAATTTATGGCATCCATGCCACCTGTCTGAAGGACTCGCTGTTGCAGCTAATAAAAAATGTGTTTGTTTATAATTATTTACTTTGTACATGCAACCACATCATTGTGTTGTTAAATAGTCACTGTGTTGTCGTTTGAGCTTACCATTGTTAGCAAACTGTTTGAAGTGTTTTTTAAATTATACGAAGAGTGTTTTGCGATACCTAACTATCTGTGCTCTTAACATTAAGTACTCTCGGTTCGTGGTAAGGTCAGGAAATAGCATTGTTTTTGGTAAGTAAGCTACCCTTCGAAACATATGTTTGTCAACTAATCAGCCCATCCCTCGATGTACATAAATGTATTAAAAATTATCGATGTATCGCCGCGGTGCTTCAGGAATGAGCAAAAAGTACACTTTTGTATATCGATATTTTTATTTCGATTTACGCTATTAAAGCGCGAATAAAATTCTTTTAAAATGTGACACATTTTTAACAATGATTACATTTGTTGACAATTTTAAAAATTAAATAACTTAATTAAAACTAAACAAACAAACTAAAACTAAAAAGATTTTGTAAACATTCTCAGCTGAGCAGCAATCATATTTTTATAGGCTGTTCGCCTTTTAAACTACGTAAAAACTTCATTTTATGTTCGGTGGTTCTACCTCAAACATTTTGTAAAATTTTGTTTGAAGAAACAGGCATACATATGTACATACATATTTACACATACATGAATAATAACATAAACCGAATCACATGGCACTATAAGAAAACTGAGAACAGCTCCGGCAACAACTAGCAAAACAACAAAATCAAAACAAAAATACAAACTTTACCGGCAAATTGCACGTGACGGAGAGGAACGAGCAGCATCGTTAAGTGCCGAATAGGTTGAACGAAACCGACGAAATTTGGCGCAGAATCCGACGAGTCCTGGCCAGTGGCTATATAAGTAAAGCGCAAGAAAGGCGATACTCATTCGGTTGTCGTCAGTCAGTTGAAAATTGCACAAGTTAGTTGGAAATTCCGAAAATCGCATCAAAAGTGGCACTGGACCATAAGTAAAAATTTTAAAGCAGTGATTTTTGACTATAGACCAATTGGAAAAGCATGTATACTATATAGTATGTGCATAAAACCAGTGTACATGTATACACACATACACACACTCGCAAGCACATACATTGGTTTGCACATTTTTTCCACATCTGTGTTTTTCTGAATAATATACATGTACATATGTCTATCCATTCAGTTGAGCAATAATAGTCTGTTTTTTTGCGCCGTGACTTTTGTAATTGGATTCGGTTATATTTACTTTGAGCACCACGCTTGAAAATTATAGTATATTTAAGTGGGCGCTTTCAAAGGATAATAAAACAGAGCAGTGACAAACAACAAATAACGTGTAGTACGTAACGTATTAACAAGCTAATGCTATTGAAAATAACAAAGAAATACAAACAAAATCAATAAAACCCCTTGAGTTCAAAAAAGTGAGACTGCATGGCCATTTGGAAATTTTGTGCCACAAGAAGCTCTTCATAAATTCAAAGTGTTTCCTTACGGGACTCAATGTCAGCCAATTGATTGACAAATTGTTCGAACACACACACACTCTCCTATTGTGCAGTTGCTTGTGTATATTCTGGTGTTTTTTCTGCACCTTGATCCTTGTGGTCGGTAGCTGCAACATCAGCATCATGGGAACACGGCAGCGTATGCGCCATAAGCCGCTTTGGGCTTTTATATCCTTGACCGTTTTGCTGCTGGTCCTAGATAGGAGCAGTGCGAACACCAATGGCAATACAGAGAACACGGAGTCAACAACCACGGTTGAGCCAGGTGAGTGGTAATTGCAAGTGAGAGCTCAACAAACCAAAGTGTGAAACAATTTTCTGCGCTTTAAGTTCGACCTTCAGTTGAGAGAAAAATCATTTGGCAATTTTCCTCCCCTCAAGCGGATTAAGTGGATTCAGGCGAAGACAAGAGAAATAAAACATAGAGGCGATTGGCAGGCAAATGTATTTCATGGTTTCACGTTTATTTTTTGGAAGGCTTGTTTTGCTTTCACCTTCCCCAGGAGTGTGTTTCTGGGCTGTGACCTAGCAACAGAGGCACTTTATTTAATGACTTTTGTGCTTCAAAGCGATAATCACGCACATAGCCACTCACACTCGTAGACGCACACGCACAGGGACACGCAGAAGAACAGGCACACAACCCAAACAATGCGCAAAAATACATATCTTGAGGCGAATGAAATATGTATTTCACATTGGTACGATTGCAAAAAGTAAATGCGCGTTGGTTCTGGCACAGAGGCAATCAAAACGAGGCCTGATGGGCAGGCAACCTTAATCCCAATCAACGTCAACAAAACTGTAAACATAAGGAGAGACGGTGGCACAAACGATTGAATCAGAGTAAGGGCGGCATTCAGAGTTAATGAAGTATGCCAGGCTGAGGAATAGGAGGGCAAACGAGCGAATTCGCCAATAGAAATTAATACCTAAAGGAGGCTTTAGAGAGTGCGGGGAAGACAATCAATATAGGTTATGGAAGCCAGGTCTTTTGCTCACGAAAACAAATGCAGAAATTTAATTAATTTTTTCATATAAAACTCGCATTTCCACCATGATTACTGAACAGCTTAGCAGCGATTACATACACTCTGAAAATATACCCAAAAAACGCCCTTTTAAATTAAACAAACCCAATAATTTATAATAATTTAATTTTAAAAACATAAAACTATGGATATTCCGACTTTATTGTTAACCAATTAGTTTGAATTAAGCTATGAGCTCCTTTATTTAAGTTATGAAATATGTACATATATTCGTTTATGTTTATCTCTAGATCTACATAAGTTATTGTGTACATTTTTATTTTATAGTTTATTATACTATGTACAACTATAGCCTAAAAGTACTCCCATGACGGTTGAAAATTATAAATAAATGTTTCTTAATCCAACGGAAGCGCATGCCGACAAACTAGAAAATCACTTCAAATTTGCGCAACAATTTAGAGTAAAGGAGTTTGGGGGCGATTTACTTAAATGTTTTCTCTGAGTGTACCACCTTGACTGCTAAAATGGATAATTTGATGATATCATCGGCATCCATATCAATGCTGATACAAAATTCAAAAATTGCGACGTAGTTCAAATATATTACGTGTTAGTAAATTTTTTCGGGAACGACTGAAGTGAAAATTGCGCAGCTAAATGCGAATGATTTTTCCTTTACTGAAAACAGAACATTGCCTTCGTCATCTTCATCAGTATTGCATGCATTTGAACACATTTCCCATAAATTTTATCTAAGCCAGGATGGTGATGATGATGTTGTGTGCTGTGTGCTCTGTGTGTGTTTAAAAGGATATGTGGCCGACTGTCTAAAAACAAATGCCATGCCATGGGAATGCGACTGGGACTGGGACTTGCATTGTTTATGCAAACTAAGTAAAGCAGTTACAGCTAAGAAAATATGATATACAGAGTTGCACTTAAGACATTCAAGACATACTAGTGCATACATACATATATTTGCACTTTTTCTAAGTACGCTGAATAGACAATGCAAATATATACATATATGCTTCTAATTGTATGTATCGTACGAACATACTATGTACATATGTAGATAGTTTTTTTTTTGTACCCTTCAAGTAAAGTAAAAAAAACAAAAGGTTGACTTAATAAATCAATATTCCCATATTCCTTCTGTATTTCGTGCATTTTACGGAAAACATCAATATGTTAATATATTTTCGATTGTTTAGTAAGACTTGTCCCGAAGTGCTACTCGGTGTTTTGTTGGCCATAAGAAATAGATGAATAGGAATACTATAGAAATTCTTAAAGTATATCCAACCATAACCTAAACAATAAAGTTAAAATAAAGTTAACTAAGTTGTAAGTTAACGTCTATAGTATTCGTCGACTTTTTAGTATAAGCCGTAAATCATAAATCTATTGTTAATAGTCTACATGATTGAATTAAGAATTGAATAACCCGATTGTATTGGAATACCTCTATTACTATAGTAAGATATTGTAGGAAACCCTAATTGATGATTGGAGATTGATCCAACCGTGTTCCGTGTTTACTCCACAAAAATTCAATTTTTGACTTTTAAAAATAGACATGATTTTTAGTTTCCTTTAGTTCCCTTAAAGCTTAATTCGTTTTGACTTTCTCTACATTCAAAATGTTTTATTTAAAAAGGGTTCTATTCTGTATCCTAGCGCCCTCTAGTTTCATATACATATGTAACAGGAAAAAGTTGGTTATACGGTCTTTACCTGTGTATATGAATATCATTAGTTAGCTGGTTAGCTTTACCATTAAGTATTGTGATATTCCAATCTTAAGTAGAGAAGCATCTGATGCTACATATTACAAAAAGTTTGCCACTATTTAATGAACAAACCGTGTTCTCTCGGAACTTCAATGTACTTTTTACCAACGAACATAAAATGATGCATTGTCTCCGTGCCCAGTTCAAGAGATTTAAATGTAATCGGATGAGAATCAAATGCGCGTTTCTCCTTAATGCACTTCGCTTGTCGCAGCTAATTAACAATTATGTTGCAATTAGGCTGCATTGCAGTGACCTTTGACCCAATTTGTAACCTTCGTTTTCCTTGCATATCTTGTCAGTAAATCTCAACTATTTCAACCATGCCGCGCATCTCTCGTCTTTTTGGCCATGTACACGTACATACATCAGTTTTAAAGCAGCAACAAAGCATAGAGCCTAGAGCGCTACGCGCTCTACTTTCCACTAAAGTGGAGAAACCAAGGAGACGAAGAAGATACTGTGTACATGCCTGCGTGTTTCTGCCCAACCCTCTAGCCACCGGAACGCACTTTATTTTATCTTTATAGAAATGGCTTATACAATAAAAGCCGTGTCAAATAATTAGCCACCAAATAATTCAATCATTCACTCAAATGTAGCGTGCCTTTCACCCTCGCAGATTATAATTAACTTAAATATAGGAATCGATTTTAGGTATTTACTAAAACGTTAATAAAAAACCGTATAGCTATGTCAGTTTTCCGGTACTGCAATAGAACTCATTCGTGGATTGTTGTAAACCCCACAAGTTCGTTAAAAAAAAATGTAAAGCGTGCAGAAATGTTAATTAAAAAATGTTTGATAAAACAAATCGGTCTACACTAAAATCTAAAATAGTAGGCTTCAGTCTTTCCATTGATAAGAAAGACTAGGTTCCTCCGGAGGACCGCCATTGGTACCCCCTCACAAGTTGTTCGTTAGTGTTGCCGGATATTGTTGATCAGTTTGGAGAGTGATTTACTGCTTTGCTTTCCACAAAAAATATGACCTTTCAACCCATTTCTACAAAATTATATAAGGAATAGATTCACTGCTTAGTTCAGAAAATATAAGAATATATCAGTACAATACATACTTGTACATACGCAAGGGCGTAGGCAGTGGGGCTGAGTTGGATTTGTTGCTAAAAACTGCCTGCGCTCTTGAGTATTTGGCATAAAGTTTATATCTATAATACTTTCTGCAAATACAATTAAATGGGACAGGTTCTGTTTGTAATTTTTAAACATTTTTAGTACATATTTGAATAATAGTAATATATACATATATACATAGTACATATATTAAGTTGTTAACTGATTGAAGCGATGCAAGTAGCTATGGGAATATGTGGGGCTCTTAATGCTGAATGCGCTTGAATATTGTGTGTTTACGATTTCATAAAATGTCATGCAATAATGCAATAATTCTGTGCTCTGCCTTTCCACAGACGCCTCGCCCGGTTGCCGTGCGCCCGATATGCGGTTTACTATTGTGAAGCCGGAAACGACCACGGAACAGCCCTATGCCAAATTCGAGACCACACAAGTCTATTTGCCGGAGGATTTTACGACAGCAGACGTAGAATTTGTGGACAAGCTGCATGTCGACACAGTTGGTCGGCACGCTAGCGAGAATCATGCGGCCATAGTCAATCCCTACCAGATTAACTTGGACGATGAGAGAGACAATCATGAGTTGCATGCGGGCGATGCGGCAGGCCTAACCGAAGAAGACGATGTCGAAGAGGGCATTGCCGAGGAAGGTACCTACAAACGCATGAACAGCAACCGAAAACAGGGCAAGAAGCGTCGTTCCGGCTCTGGGAGGCGACGTCGCATTGAGAATGACAATGGGCAGACAGGACGTGGACGCGGCAGTCGCTATAAGCGGCATGCCATCCTACACGATGCGGAGGCCTCGCCGGAAACGGACCGTTGGGCCGGCAGCAAGCTGGCCGCTGAGGGCGATGTGTATTACGTGCACATTGCAGACATCCTTAAATCGCGAGAGGCCAACCCAGAATTGCGGATGAAGCTGCACAAGATGAAAAGCCAGGCACGACGCAGCAAGTGCCCGAAAGAGGGAGGCGCCGAGATGTGTAACAAGGTGAAAAAGCCGAAGAAGAAATATAGTAACATGGCTGACAAGCAGCAGGATAAAAAGATTAAGTCAACTAATGGCCAATGGCAACAGCAGACCAAGAAGCAGGAGGCGAAGGAGAAGGAGCAGGAGGAGGAGGAGGAGGAAGAACAGTCGCAGCATTATCGCCGACGCGGTGACAGTCACGATGCTGAGCTCGACCAACGTGACATCAATCCGCGTTGGCGTAGCCGCCGCAGTGTTGACATTGGCAATGATGAGGCAGCCAATAGTAATAATAGCGATGGCAACATTAAGGAGCCGATGCCGCTTGATCAACTGCAAATGGAGTCAACACTGACCGGCGAGGAGTACGTCAATCAGTCGAGCAGTGCAGCAGTGGCCCTGCAACGTGTCAAGCGCAAGTCGGGCAAGACCACGGGTGCACTGAGCCGTCCCAAGGGTGGTGGAGACTCAAGCTCTAAAACCACCAGTCGCAAGGATAAGGGTAAGTTAAGCGCTAACAGAGTGGCCAGACACTGGCAATGCTACAGTGCCACCTATAAGTTTGCCGCCGCTGTCTCGTTGTCTGTCTGTCCGTCTGTACTGTGCTGCCCAATGGGGCCAACATATACTATAAATACATACATACATGCATATCTGTATGTAGTATATGTAGTATACATACATAAGAATTGTTTGAATCAGAAGGACATAAGCTAATCGCGCTAACAGCCCCCATAGCTCACAACAGATCACCAGACCATAGTCCATAGCTCAGAGCTCACGGCTCACAGCCCGCTGAGCTCAGCTCCACTCATCCACATTCATTCACATTAACATCTGCACCTTGACTTGCTCTCGTGACTGGCTATTTCCCCCTCCATTATGTGCATCTATATCTGTGTCTGTATCTGTATCACCTAACTCCCATCCACCCATCCACCCATCCATCCAAGCATGCCATTATCTGTGTGGTGCCTGGTCTTTTGTTTCAGCGTAGTGCTTTATGTTTGGCCTTTGTGAGGCTACTTTCGTCGTTTCTTTTTATAATCCTGCGTCCTTTTTGTTAGAGCGCTTTTTGCATGCAACTTTACAGCAACTTGAATTCACTGCTCCTTTCTGTTCCCTTGCTGCTTACTTGGGATTCTTTGATATTGCGCTGAAACGTCTTTCTTCTTCATGCCTGAAACCTTCAATGGTACTTTTCCCCCCACTAGAATACACCCTAGTGGGCGCGGCTACTTGTGTAACATCTTGCATTTCATCTTCCGCGTGTTCGCCTTTTTGTAGATAATTCAAGCCTTGAAGGTGCCGAAGAATGCATGCTTTATATCACTAGCCTACAATTATCAAGATTCAAGATATAGAATTAAGTGAAGTTCCATATGGCACTCAGTTCTTATTTGCTGATATCTAGTTTAAATCCTCAACATCCTTGTCCACAACTATCACTTTATTTAAAATCTTAAATGAGAATCGAAAAAAACTATTTATTTGTTAATTCTTGTAATAAATATAGTTTTAAAAACTGACCAATGGAAAATATATAAGTATATGCCAGCTGGTAGGCAACCCAGTTAAACCAATGGAGGGATTTACTTATTAATATTCTAAGAACAAACATAAGAACTGTATTCTGGCACTGGGCTTAGATGGGAGTTGTGATTGGCCAGATGGTTCTGGTACTCTCTCCAGAACCTCATGAAGTAGAAGTGAAAGGAAACTTATTGTTTATAGGGGTCACTAAATATTTCAAACCAACGTTAAAATTATTTTAGAGAGTTCCTAAACTTGTTTTTAAGATTTGTTTAAATGCGCGTTAAAAATATACTAACTGGCTAACTGGAAGGCAATTTTTTTGTATCGTGAGAACACTCGACATAAATAATTGGATCACTCAGCTTGTTATGCGGAAAGAAAAACTACTAGTTAACAGAAAAATAAAAAACAAAACTCGATAGCTTAAGGAATAGTTCTTTGTGATTTTATATTTAGGATACTTACTACTTGTAAGGGTATTATAGCTGAAGTTACATCTACTTAAGCGAACTTTTGTTGTCTTAGGTTACAACAAGCAGCCTCATCATAATCTTCTCGGTGTCTATAAGTTTTATTGCATATCCAACACTCTTTAGTTTCCATTGAAGTTTGTGCCCGTTTTTGCACGTTTCTATGGCTTAATGTGTGGCAAAGTACATTTTTTCTTGTTGTTGCTGTTGTTGCTCCTTCGGAACGGAAGTGCCTGCCTTTCACACTTTGTAAAGTTTAAGTGTAAAAGAGAGAGGGAGTGAGGAGAGGGGGGGGGGCAATGAGCTCCTCTCGAGTCAAGTGTCTGCCTCTTGGCTGGTGCATGAAGCAAGAAATCAAATGCCTGCCTAGATTTCTTATTTTTCTTGCCTTTCCTTGAGCTCGGCTTTAAATTTCTCATTATGCACTTACACGTGTATCTACGCTTGTATTGCCTTTAATTTGAAGTAGTGTTTTAGATATTTGCATGCCTTAGTTTTAGCCTCCCTGTACATCCTTCACCTGCTTGGCAAGCCCTTCTCCTTTTAACTGTGGCATCTAACGCATTAAACATTGCCCATTTCATAACGCCCTCCTCATCTTCTACTCTCGTACCTTGTTTAGGCATTTACGATGAGGAGGCTGGCTACTCACCCGTGCACCCGGATGATACCGATTCGGATGAAGAGGAGGACGAGGACGAGGAGGTGGATATACTGCAGCAATTCACCGAAGTATCTGAAATACGTTTCCCGGGCGAAATTGGTCCGATGGGGGATCGCCGATTGTGCAAAATACGGTGTGTGAAGGGGAAATGGGTTGGACCGCTCTGCGCTACCAACGAGGAGGGTAAGTGAGCTGCGGCACACACACACGTACACTTCCACTTCCACAGAGCCCCAATGAGAAATACTACATGATGTTTTATTAATCATTAGCAATACAAGTACATGCATATATACACTTACAGTCGTACTTTTGTATAGCTCTAAGTCAATAATTGAACTCGTGACTTTGTCAAACAATAAGTAATATTGAAATATTAAATACATACTCTTATATACTTATACATTCACACATACTATGCTTAGTGACAATAATATATACATTCAATAAACTGAATAAAACAACATTCAAACACTCAAAATAAATGCACATTCACGTACTCTCACACCGACACAAGTAGGAACGGTTGGTATGGTATATTTTGGATGGTAACTCATTAATCTCTTGCTACCTTTATAGATGATAATGGGAACGTGAAGTTTCAGCCATTGTACAAGAGCTGTCATGTTAATCGTATACCACCACATCTCTTACTCAGCTATCGAAACATCTCAGTGGTAAGTGCCATGTGGCTGCTGCGCCTCGACTTGACGGTTTTCTGCACACACACCCCTATACACACCCACATGAAATTCAAATCCAGCACACGAGTGAATGCACAGCAATGTCGGAACACAGATGTATCTATAAACAGGTTTCCGCTATTTGGTAGTTAACCCACTGAGTCCAGTGTTTATTAATTATTATTCAAATATCTAAAGCTATCGGGAGCTGCGATTTAATTTCTTTCCAGCTGTGCTTTGGTCCCCATAATAGACAAAAAAGATTTCATTAAGTTATATTTTGTGAGTTACATATTTCAACAACAAAAAAGTCATTCTTAAATGAGTATTAATTCTATTATTTCCGAATCCGGCAAGTAATATACAAAGATTACTTATGCAAATACAGAAATGTTTATTTCATAAATACCATATTTGATTTCATTTTTTAATTTGCAGTGTGACCAGACGGTGTCGGAAACTGAGCAAGTAGTGATTGTCTTTTAGAAAATGTTTGCAAAGGCTTTTTAGGGATAAATACGTATATCACAGTAGGTGGGTAGGTACAGAAAAATCAGGAAATATTACTTTAAAAATCGCTCAAATCGTTCAACAACTCAATGGCTTCCTTAACTTAAAAACACTCGATCCATTAGCCAAAACAAATCCTTAACTTCCTTATAAATTGTTTATAAAAATTAACAGACTAAATGTATTTGTTTGGATAAATACATTTTAATTTAAATAGATGAAATGTGAGTAAGCCAGAAATACTTATACTACGATTATAACTTGCAAGCTTAAGGGCCTGGGAGACTGAGCCATAACCAACCCATTCCCGTATTATTTTATTGTCACAGCTTAGCTCAAAACTGGACCCGACAATCTTTCATTTTTTGAATCACATCGCAATCGCAATAGAAATAAAATCAGCAAACAATTTGTTCGAACTCATTCATGATAGCTCCTATGTACTATATAGTGTTTGTCATCAATTCCGCTAAGAATCGTTTGAGCCCGTTAACTGGCTGCTGGCAAGGCAAAGATGAAAATATCACTCAGTATTTGGTACTCTTTGATTCTCTCTTACAGACACCGATACCACCAAATCGCGGCTGGCGTAAAACGCGCACTTCCAAATCAACACTTCTCTCAAATACAGAAATTGTGAGTGGCCGACGTTGTTGTTGTTCTTCTTCTAGTAACTTGAGGTGCATGTGCAGTAGTAGTGGCCAGGGCCAGGGGGCCTCAAGACACCAACACAACCACACACACACACACACTCACACAGAGATAAACAAACAAGCACAGTAACATGCGAGTAGCGCCCAAGTAGTGGGCTGTATGGCTTTCAAAATCAAATTAATTGCAAACAACAACATGCACGGCTTACCATCGCCTCGGCAGTGCCAACTGCTGCTCTGACACACACACACATACACACACACACACATATGTACATACACATACAGCTAAACATCCTGTCTGAACTGCACGCCAGCACGTCCAGCGTAAACCATGAGCGCGTCTAAAGCGTTGACAGCTTGCAAATAAGTCTTTAATTTCTCCTACTCTTATCTCTTCTTTGTTTTTTTTTCAACGTCTCGCACACACATCCAACCAATGAACCAATCATCCAATCACACACCCATACACTCACCCACACATACACATTGCGCTTGCCTGCCAATCGCTCGTCTTGCCTTGACTTGCTTCCCAATCCACCCAACCTCTCTCACACTTCGCCGTCAAACAATTGTCGCTGCCGTTACAGAATGTTGGCTGGGATCTGCCACATGGACACTCGCTGCAGGCGCGCTGCCAGGAATTGGGCATCTATAAGCTGCTTGGAGAATCGCGTGTTCTATGCTCCAACGGCCTTTGGGCACCCCGAATGCCTTCCTGCGTGCCCACCACAGTCTTGACCAACTACTCGGAGGATAGTGCGCCGTCCATACGCATAAAAGTCTTCAATGGCTCGCACTCCTTCGAGCCATCCGGGGTTATAGCCGTGCCACCACACACCACCTTACTGATGGATTGCATGTACCCACGAGTTAGGGGCACGCCCGAGTGGAGCTGGACCAGCTGGTACATGCAGTACACCACAGGTGCGTGACACGCAATCAGCAGCAGCATTGCGAGATATTTCGGCAATCTAAACAGGCGTAGCTTAAAAGTGGGTGGCACAATTATCGAAGCTCAGCCACATTTCAAAATCTAATAGGTACACACTGGATCGCTTTCGGGTCTTGTCGTGCTGCACTATTTAGAGATATGTCTACACTTATTCGCCGTTATTCATCATTAATTATATTAATTTTGATAGTGCAGGAATATGTTTTTATAAATATTTATACAATTACTATATTTATAGCCTAAGGATTTACTTTTCAAAAATGAGGTAGAATTGAAAGAGAAAAACTTAAATAAAAAGAAAATGTAAAATAGGAACCACGTCATAGCTTTTGAAACTCGATTTAAGAACTTCAATACTTCATCAGTAAAGATAATTTTTTGTATATTTTTCAAATAGTGTGCTTCTCAGTTTTGAGAGTTAATTTCGATCGATTACTAGCAAAATAGATTGCCAAAATATCCCCTCGCACTTTGTTGTTTACTGTGTAGAATATTTAACATTTATAGTCTTGCTTCCAGGCTGGTCACCAATAGCTGAAGAGAAAGCCGTACGATATCGCTTGAGTATCAAAAATATTGAAAATAATGATTCTGGCACCTTTACCTGCACCTCACCCCGCGGTCTTACTAACAGCATCACCGTTGTTGTGGCCACTTCGATATGTCCGCAGCTCCCAGAGCCGCTGGCTCCGCTCAAGCTGCGTCTCGAGGGCAATAAGCTGGGCCAAAGAGCGCACTACGACTGTCCCGAGGGTTTTCGGCTGGATGGCTCCTTTAATGCCACCTGCCTAGCCTCTGGCAATTGGTCATCGCCTACTCCAACATGTAACTCTATTCAATGTCCGCGCCTGGTGCTCGAGGACGAGCATCTCAGTCTAATTGAGCTCAATACCTCGGCATGGGGAAGAGCTGTGTTCAAATGCCAGTGGGGCTTTAAGCTGACGGGACCAGCGGTGCTGGATTGTGAGCCGACGGGCGTTTGGAGTGGCCCCGTACCACGTTGCAAAGGTAAGTAACTAAAAGAGTTCACATCTATTCAGTAATAACAACCACTTAGTCACTTAAAAACTATACAATTATACCACCATTAGGAGCACGTTATTTTCGTTGAATAAATTAAATAGTCGCAGTGTAGAAATACACTTTTTTAATCAATTAAATCAAGTTTTTTAACACAAAGAAACTACTAAAATTTCTTAACATTTTTTTTTAGGATCCTATTTTTTGAGATTCTAAAATCCAAAAAGATATTGATATCTGTAAAATAATTTTCTTATTTTTATATCAATTAAATGCTTAAGCTGTTTTCAGATCTGCTTAAAATACAGTTTGTAACTCAATTTGGACTGCTTTTGTGCATATATGTACATATGAACTATTTTTTGGATCCACCTTGACATAGTTACTTTATATGGCCGGACACTCATGGTCGGCAAATTTTTGCCGGCGAGGGGAGTGTCCTCTTAAGAGGATACTTAAATACTTTATACACCGATCGAATGTTTTAGAAAAAATGTTCGCCGAAGAGAGTGTCCGTATAAAAGAGGTGTCCATTAAGGGAGTTTTCACTGTATATACATATGCAGCCCATATGCAGATTTCTGAATGTAGCCAATGACAGTGATACAATTATTGAGACTTTTGTAAAGAAGAAACATACATAGATTTATGCCACATTAAAAATAAGCGCCGATCGATAGATGTAAAGAAAGTAAAGATGTCTCCTTTATATTTTGACCTCATGGGATTGTGTGTTTTATTTTTAAAGCGTATTCCTGCGCTAGTTGAGAATGTACTTGTATTAATTGTTCGATTGTTTTATGTATCCTTTGCGTTCCAGTTATTCAATGCGTCATGCCTGTTCCACCTCTAAACGGCCGCATTGGGGGTACAAGTTTGAGTCAACGACGCCTCACGGTTGGTGCTTTGGTCACGTTCAGTTGCAATGAGGGGCACACCCTAGTAGGGGAGTCTAGTATCATTTGCACGGAGAATGGATTCTGGTCGCATTCGCCGCCATTTTGTAAGTAAAATTTCAAACAAACAATTAAGCAACCACAAATAGATTGCAGACAAAGATATGCCCATGCACAATCGCAGATGCGATTCCCTAACATTTAAGCTACTTTGCTAAGTGGGTCAATCTCAATCAAATAAATTAATGAAACCCGTGTTGTATTTCTGTTGTAACGATCAACGATCATTATAATTTTCATCCGAAACATCGACATCGTCATTCCATCTGCCCATGTGCATGCCTCTATCCATGTTCATTGCTTACGACGTTCATAGGCAAATCGCAGTGTCCGTATCCTGGCGACCCGCCCAATGGGTTAATCGCGCCTCTGAAATTCAATTACGATGCCGGCGATTATTTGAGCGTACAGTGCAGGCCAGGTTTTGTGCAGACGAACGAACATAATAGTGGTCCTCCAGAGCGGCCGAAATGCCAGCCCGATGGAAAATGGTCCGGTCCCCTCCCTAAATGTCGCAACTACGAGGAAGTGTAGCTTCAGCTTCAGCTTCGCGCCGACAACAGCTTTGTTGATGAAGAAAAGGCCTAGAAGGTAGTCACAGGTATTGGCACGCTTGAACTACTCGTATATTTCAATTCGAGTAGGCCAACCAAATTCTGTTATATATAGAACTATATACACTACATATACTATATACACGAAAATCCTACTAATTCTATTATATACATTTGATTGCAACTTTGGGCTACCAAATTCCAAATTAATAAAATGTGGAGTGATATTTAGATAAAATATAGTAAGTGCGAATAAAAAGGTCAAAATAAATCAACTTATTATCAATAAGAATTACACAATTATTATAATTTTATTCAACACAATATGTAAGTACTTAGTTGTATTATGTATTTATAAAAACTAAAACTATTATTACACTTCAATTATCATTATTTGATGCGGGTGTATCGATGTGTAAATGAAGCTGCGAGCATTCAAAGACAGTAACAACGACTAATAACAATACACTGAAAGCGCAATATGCATAGTGATTAAGAAAGAGAAGTATTTGCGTTAATTAATTACTTTATAGTTGTACAGAATTAATATTGGACTTCAGCTAAACAGCAGCACTATCGCCATTTTGTCAATTTTTTTAAATGTCTCTCACTTTTCAATTGTATATCGGAAAATCTTAAGGCCTTGTCATAAGAAAACTGCGCTAAACACTAGACTAGAAATGTTGATTCATTTAAAATGGCAACAAATGCTGTTATCTGCTAGACTTGCAATTTTGTCTTTATTTTTATACCCTGTACCCAAAGGGTACAAGGGTATATTAGTTTTGTGCGAGTGCACATGGAACACACAGAAGGAGGCTTGGTAGACCCCACAAAGTATATATATTCTTGATCAGCATGACAAGCCGAGTCGATATAGCCATGTCCGTCTGTCCGTCTGTCCGTCTGACCGTCTGTCCGTCTGTCTGTCCGTCTGTCTGTCCGTCTGTCTGTCTGTATGAACGCAAGGATCTCCGAAAGTATAAGAGCTAGAATAACCAAACTTGGTATACAGATTCTCCTGAGACCGAGAAAGGACAAGTTTGTTCATTTTTTCTGATCCAACCCCCCACTCCCCCCCTATTACCAATTTTCTATAACTCCCATAATTCTTGGAATTTTAAACTTAAATTTGGTAGTCACATTAGGTTAGTAATTATATATCCGTATACCAAGTTTCATTATGATAGAATGATCAAAAAGAAAGTTATAGCCATATAACCAGGCCCAATGCACACATACATACATATTTACAAGTACACAAACACGCATAAGGCACGATTCTGATGTAAATGTAAATGTATGTATGCATGCATGGAATATTTTATATTTAATTAGTTAATATTTAGTTAATTAATTAAATTAATTTAGTTAATTAATTAAATTAAATTAATTAATTAATTAAATTACTTTTTTGTGGGGTGGTACAGGGTATTTAAGAGTTGAGCCTGCTCGACTTTAGCATTCCTTTCTTGTTAGTTTTCATTCCAATTTCACAAGGCCAGTAGGAACAGGGACGCTATGAGAATTCGGCTAGTTGCTTGGTTATAGCTCAAAAAAAAAAAAAAAAAAAACGGCCATGCACGGCTTGATATTGGTAGCTGTTAAATCTATTCTCCTTACTTGTGTAAACCCACAATTTTTAATCTAGTTCTTAGAGCTGTGTCAGAAGTCCAAATATGTTTAAAAAAAAATGCTAATAGTGTTGCTGCTTGCTTCGTGAAAAAGTTTTTTGACCGTAACGGTTAGTAGCAGATTGTTTTTGTTATCTCAATTATAAAGTAAATATATATTTGAAGCAATATATTTATGCAGGAAATCAAATTAATAACCCGATTTTTAAAATGTGGTTTTCAATTGTCTTGACAAACATATAAATATTTAAGGAACAAATGTTAATTCAACATTAATTAACTTAAATCTACCTGTACTTTATTTCGATGCGAATAAATGCAAATTTAGAAGTTATAAAGTAGTTCGAATGGGAGTCGACCACAACTTTGTGTGGAACAGATATGATTACAGCTTTATTAGTCATATTTTGGCTTTTATGCTTGGGGCGAATAAAATGTTGTTTTTCACAAATCTGACGTCAGACCAGGAGTGCCGCTTAACTAAGAAATTTTGTGAGAAAATAAGAACTCCGCTCAAAAGATTGTTGTTTCAAAAAACTTATTCAATTCAAATTTTATAAAATATATCCAAATTTTAATTTAAAGTACCTATTTGCACAAAATGTGAAATTTGATTGGGTTTTAATGGAAAAAATGTAGGTTTCAGTTGGGGGTTTTTAAAAATTTCACATTTTATTGCCACATTAGAGCAAATAGTAGTACTATGTAGTGTTTTGAAAAACTTTTATCATTGAAATGGTGGCATACAATCAAGAAATAACTATGCCCAAATACTTCCACATTTAGTCCCCATAACGCAATTATGTAAGTCGAAAATGTGGGTGTACAATTTTTAAAATGTAATAAAAATAGTTCATTCTTCGGCCTGGCTCTAGCTTAGACAAATTTGCCAATATGGCCCAATCCACTCGTTCTGTGTCCGAGGTGTTATAAGCTCTTAGCCTTCAGTCATTTAAATCTTGCGAAGAAGGAATGTTAGCGAATGTTAGGAGAATAACATCATCACACTTACTATAATGTTAACCGTACCGTACCCAAAAATGTTTCACATCAAAACAAAAACTCTTATTCAATACAGGTATTTCATTAGAAAGTTAAAGTTGAATGTATATACATACTCGTATATATGTAAGCATATTGTTTAAAAGAAGAACTAACCAAAAGTCCATGTTTGCGTGTGTATGTATCTTTGTATAAGGGAGTTTCACAAAAAAGAGCGCACAATATTAAATTCAAAATGAATGTACTTGTATTTATAAATGAAAGCGCTGTCATTAAGGTTAAGTAAAGGTATAGAAGAGTTAAACACATGATATAAGAAAGAAGATCAAAAATATAATCGCAATACTATGTTAAGTCTAACACCACAAAAAAATCGAAAAGAAGCTCAAAGTATGCAAGAAAAGCGACTGTTCCCACAAGATAAAACGGAAATAAACAATGATTTATGTATGTATTGTATTAAGCAATATTGCAGGCTATATACGTTATGTATGTATGTATATATGTATGTATGTAGGTAGTGCAAAGCAAAGTTAAGGTAATGGACATAGGTGTTGAGTGATTTATTTTAATTATTGAAGCTATATATCACTAATTACTTACTTAAATATGTATAATACTTCATCGATGCGAGGACTTTTCAAAATGTTGGACTCAAATTAGTATAGTGAACCGAAATCTTATTCTTCAGTCTGAAGTTTTTTTAAATCTATGAATGAAATGTTTCGTTTAAACTTAAACTCTAATGTTATATTTGTAAACGAACTGTAAAAACTCTAAATAAAATACTATATTATATGAATTAATTTAAATTTGCAACTAAAATGTTTTCATGCTTGCTTATCGACTGTATAAAGTTTAACTTGTATTCTGGCGATTAAGTGTTGGTTTGTATACTCTACAAGAGAACATAATTAAAAGGAGCTCACTGGGATTTGGCACTCTTCCCCACGCATTAAAACAGTGTATTAAGGTTTAAATAACTTTATGCTTCTGTCATTTTAAAGATTATTTCCTTAGGAGTGAAATATTGGTAAGATTCATTTCCTGGCATCTATCTTTTCCTGTTATTAAAATGAAGAAATTGTTGTACATCATTGAGAACCCAAAATTGGAGACAAATCTTTAATTAAAGGGCTATTAACGGAATTCTAAATTAAAAACAATTTATTGAACAATAGGGAATAAGCCAGGAAACAGCTTGATTAATAAATGTTCAGATTTATCTAAGTAGAAAAGACAAAAACTCCATCTACTGTGCAACGGAAATTGTAAGTCTATATAGATTATATATTAAGGTTGTTGTTAGTCTGTTCACTAACAGAGGCAAATCGTCTTATTGATAACAACAACATTTTCTGCTTTTTCATACCGGATCTAGCTCAGGAAATTAACTGACACATATGTGAAAATTACGTATGCATGTAAGTACATGGCTTTTAGTTAGCCGTGCCAGGAAGTTAAATAAATGGCGTTAAAAGTGCACAAAATGGCGGGGAATTAATTGCTTAACCGTAACTCTGACTGTGCGAACAAAAGCAATTTTGGATTGTGTGTAAATGTATGCCAAGGAAATATTTCATTTTCCAAAGCTAAATGTGTCACATACAACACACGCACATACATGCATACGTGTACATGTACATACATGTGTATGCATGTGTGGCTACACTAACGCACACAAAGGCAACAATGGCAACCTAAACAAACAGTGCCATCATGTGCAAAAATAAATTCTCGTATTTGCACAGAAATAATGTACACGGTCACAAACATTCTGTATGGCAGTCACAGCTTTAGCCGACTTTTGCAGTTTTAACTCTCGGAACAATTACGTTTGATACACTCGAAAAAAATACCTGAAATCCCACTTACAAAATCCAAGGAAAGAAAGTTTCTGTACCAAAACATTGGCAAATCATACAAAATTATATGCAAAATATTTACAAATGAAGGAAATTGTGAAACTTTTAACGCATTTCCTATACATTTTGAAATAAGGGCTGTAATTTCTTTATTTTCTAAAAACTTAAACATGTATTTTTCTGAGTGTATGTATATACACCCTTATGCACAGTACACCGACACAAGGGCAAAATTAATTTGTTTAGTTTTTTTTTGTTTTGTTCTTTTAGCCTTTGTGCCACTGTTGCCGTTTCCGCTACCGTTGCTCGATTTTAATATGAAACGCCGACGCTCATTTTCCGCACTTTCCACATTTTCACATTTCCACTTCTTCTTATGGATATGGTCACAAGCCACAGCCACAGCCTGCGTCCGCACCCTCCGGCGCTCTTTCGGATCACCTTATATGTATGCGAGTATATGTGAATAGTCGCTGAATAAAGCCTTTGTGTGGTGGTCGTGTGTATGGAGGTTTGGATGTTAGACTCCAAAAAGGTGTCTAAATTGAGATGCCGTGTCGCTACATTAACGGCTGCCCCTGCTCGCCCCCTCTCAATTCAAATGTGCGAACGGGTAATTAAAAACAACTGGTGCCAGTATGCGCATATACTTGTACATGCTCTGTCTCCTCACAAATTGGATTTGCTTGCTCTCGTTTTTTGTTTTTAATCAGCTACTTGTGTAGGTTTGCGTGCTCCATTAAATCTGTACGTTGCGATGTCATCCTTTCCCACGTCTAATTGATGCTGCATTAATATAAAAAATATTCCAAAATGTATTAGACCATTTGATAATTCATTAATAACTAAACAAAATGCCTTCTTTTTAAAGATAGTAGGTTTATTATATATTATTTCTTTTATTAAATGGACGTTTTTTCACTTAATTTTTTATTAATAATTAAATATCTATAGAAATCAGTATTTAATCTGAATCTTCTATAACAAAATTTGAGTGTTAACAAATCAATTAAAGAATGTATCAGATTTTTAATAATCATAAAATGTTCAGTGTATGTACCCATCCTCAGCATTTTTGGGTTATGAAAAGTAAACAAAAACTAAACTAGAACTATGCATATAGTGTGAATAGCAAGCGACAAGCTACGTTGTTTTATGGGTTTCATGACAAATTCAAAGAATGCACACCAAAAGCTATAAATCCGTGCAATTCGTTTGTTCCGAAGTTGTGGCTGCGGACAACAGAAATTAGTTAGTTTGCATTCGTTTCGACATTAAGGCGGCAGGCATTTCAATACAGCGACTCAACCCAATGCAATAGACATTCCATCAGTGTTTTCACATTTTATTGTTGCTTCTTAATATCACAATCTTTTCACATCTATAAACCATTCAATGCTCTCCCCGTATGTATTTTCGACTATCATAAGCTAACTAAATGCAAGAAAGCAAAACATTTTACTTATATATGTACATATAATGAAAAATATTTATATTAAAATATTAATAATACGACAAGTAAAGCATCAACCCATCATCAGACATCTGCTAATAGGAATAATACATTTGGGAGATGAGAAGCTTCAAATTTAAATTCGAACACTGTCAGAAGCTTGTTGCTATGTATATCTGCGGTCATATGGCAATGATGAACATTTGAATGCCTAATTCACCATTAGCCGAGGCATGGCTAACTCACCATACCAGCTGACATTAGTTACCACAGCTACAATTGGGCGCCATTCTACATCTATGCAGTACGTATACGATATTTTTTAAACGGAAGCACCCGCATATGTAAATGCTTTGTCAGCATAATAATATGACCATTAAATATAAATAAAAATGAAGACATGTACATTTTTCACATCTAGTTTGAGCATACATATTCATTTGTTCTTCGGAAGCAACACTCCAAATCTTAAAACTAAAAATTAAAAATTCTAAAATAAGCGAGCACTTTAAAATTTAGAGTTTCTCTGAAGCTCCATAAGTTTAGTTGGTAACAGCAGCTTGACACAGATAGTAAGTATAGTCATAGCCTTTCTATAAAACAAAACGTGATTGGCGAGCTATGATTGCCAATATAGTATGAAGATTTACTGACATTCAGGTGAGTTATTGAGTTATTTGTAAATACTCGTTATCGCACCATTTGGCGGCAACGAATTCCTTAATGAAGATTTAAAAAACATTTACTACACACTCAATTTAATGATATTTAAAGCTTGCAGAGATGGATTACCAGGGACATGGCGTTTATTTAAATGAATTGATTGTATATGGGTATTTCGCTGCTTATATGCACATGACAAGTATGTGCATGTGGGTGCCGTGAAGCGGTCTTTCTGTTTGAAAAGTGTTTGTTTGACTTCGAACTTTTCACTTGTTTGCCGTCCGTGAACCCAAACGAACCCATAGCTTTACCAAAAAGCAGCAGCTGTAGGCCTCATGTGGTAAGTATTGCTGGGTGGGTGATGTGTGCGAGTGCCGGTGTTAGCACAAACAATATTATGAAATTTAATGCGCTCATATTTTATGAGCTTCCACAAACAAGTCCACATACATACTGGTACATAAGCTAGCGCCAGAGCCAGCACCAGCGCGTGGCGGCAGTCAAATAAATCATGACTATACATTTTATCACTTTATTTTTAACGCTTGTGATATGTGATTGAAATGTTGGGATTTTTAAAATAAACAAGCATGCATATAATATGTGTGTGTTTGTTTTCAAATCATTGCATCTTATTTATAATTCATTATGTATAGCCCTCTCTGTCGGTCAATTGATAACAAAGTGCAAACAAAACAGTGAAGATTTTACGCTGACTCACGGTAGCAGGCAACGCAGCCTGCTTGTGTTCAAAACAAACAATAATACTAGTATATCCCGGAATTTCTTGTGAGTCACAACCGTATTGGTGCAGTAGCTCTTGATGGCAAAATACTTTCAAACTTCTTTAGTTGGTTCTAACTAGCGCTGTAATCCAGAGCTTCATGGTACGCGCGTAAAAAAAACTTTGTTAAACACACTATACGCAGTAAAGGATAAAAATATCAATTTAAGATGCGCGCATTTGAAGTGCACGTATAAGTGATTATAGATTCTGATACTGGTTAGCTTCCACGTTATGCAGAAATCACATTTGCGTTGTGTATGCAAAGCATTGAATTAAGTTGTGATATCGTTGACTCAAAGACAGTAACTCTCGCTTAATTGAATGTTTCCTGCTGAGCATGCATTTACAAGTATAGCTTATTACATTACGGGAATCTGATTAGCAAGGGTAAGTGCTATTCTAAGTGCTCTTTCTAAACATTATAAAAAATTTCCGCATGCTTTTGCACTGTTGCATTGCTACTGTTGCCAGCGGTTGATTTTTATTCCTTTTCCTCTATTTATTTCAAAAGGCAAACACTTATTGCACCTGCAAAACACATACTAACTCAAAGGTACGTGGCTCTTTGCATTGTAGTCGAAGTACAGGGACATTAAAGTTGCCATTCACCGCATTACCACCCTAATTGCAGACTGAGATGACAAATTAAATCGTTCAGTACGACTTTGAGATTACAGTTTTAACATATATGGCTTTTATTAAATTACCTTTGTGGAGAAACTGCTTATAAAATACATGTTGAACACAACTAGCTTTCCTTTGAATTATACGACTACAAGAGGGCTCAGGTACAGACACCTAAACAGGTGATTAGGAGGGTGGTGTGCTTTCACTTTCGCAGGCGCCCAAAACCGAAATAATAGGAAGAAGAGCGCGCCACTGTGGTGAATTTCTCAAATGCGCTCTCTTATGAAATACTCTTTGTACGTATGCATGTATGTATATAAATATAAATATGTGAGTGCGAGCGTTTGAATTGAGTTGTGATATATAATAAATCGTTGCATACCCAAAGGCGCAGCTTAACTTTTCAGCTTTTACGCATAATAATTATTTATTCTCTCATATTTCGTATAATATATTTTGCATAATATCCTAATTATATGTATGAGTGTGTGAGTGTGCCCCTTGATGGGCAATTGCTAAGAAAGCGCCAACGAAACGAAGGAGTATCTCTCCGATGCAGAATCCACCACGCTAAGAGAATAACGTACGTAACAGAGGCAGGCGTTAACCTAGGTTCTTGGGTGTCCTGCGCGGGCTTGTAATGAAATGCCTTTGACAACGTTGAAACGTTTGCAGTGCGTAGGCGGTTGTCGTAGACTGACGTCGTGGCCACAGCACGTGCTAATTTTACGGCGCGTGCAACACACAGCAGCTGTTTCCAACATTCAAGCAGCATCAGACAAACACAAACAAAAGCAACAACAGCAGCAACGCTATAATGGCAACACCAAGCAGCAATAGCGGCACATAAAGAGACGATGCGAACGGCGCAGGCAAAGTGGGAAGAGTAAAACAGAACGTATCTACATACAAGTATATGAAAATATTTCACTGGAAAAAAAGATAAAAGATACAACAAAAATGAAGAAACTATAAGAAGTGATAACGATTTTCACTGAAAAACCCCAAAGACAATAATAATCATGTGACTATGAAAAAGTTATAAAAATTAAATTAAAAAAACAAACTTAATCGTGACAATAATTTAACGTTTAAGATTAATTGGATTTGCACCTTGTTATTTGCACTTGAACTTTTATATATACATTTTATATGGTATTTAAGTGGAGCTGACAATAATTTTATAGCTGCATTGAAGAACAACAACAAAAAAACGACAATAAAAACATTTGTAATAATTAAGTGTAATATGTTCGATGAAGGAACAAAAATCAAATTTATTGGATTGGATCTATGCAAATATTTAATAAGAAAGTGAATGCAAAAGTGAACAGTAAAAACGCCGAAAAGTAGGCAACTGCTGCCGAACATTTTTAAAAGCATGATGTTAAAAAAAAAGGAAGCCAAAAAGCAAATATGCGCAGCGGTGTTGCTTGAGAATGTGTCGAAATTAGCAGCAAAAATATACCCTTAATTCATTTACCAAAGAGGGTCAACAAAATATTTTGTATTGTGCGCCATTTTTTGGAACGCTTTGCCATTGCTCTGCCCAGCCATTATCTTCATTACAACATTTTACAAGCGAAAGTTATAAATATAAAATAAGTTGGAGAACAAGGAAAAAGGCTGAGTTCGTTTTTGCCTGCGGGCCGCGGCAAATCGTAGCTACAATAACAACAACAACAGCAGCCATCACTTACCGGCTCGCTGCCCATCATTGAGCCGAACCAGCACAAAAAAGATGCGAAATACTGACAATACATTGAAGCTGACAAAACACGACGTGGACGACAACCGCCGACCGCTCAAGGAGCACCAAATACATTTTTGTAAGTAATGGCCAACCAAAGAAGTGAGCTAATTAGACTTAATTTCAAAATAACAAAATCATTTCTATAAATAATAACAAGGAAGTAAAAGGGTAAAATAAAACAAATTACTTGCCCTGAGCCTACCAAGTTACAGAACTATTGGAAACATCACACACACACAAGCGTACTCCATACATTTTATGCAAATTCAAGACAAACAGCGTAAGCAAACACTTGGGTGTGTGTGTGTACCTACACATACTTGTACAAGTATAATATATCTACCTAGCGCGCACACGGACAACACAGAATTACTGAACCCTGGCTGAGTTAAAATGAGGAGAAAAAAGCAAAAACAAAACAGCAGCAAAACTAAGCAATACTCACACAGACACATGCGACACGTATGCGCAATACACAAACACACAGAAAATGTGTGACTTACTTGTATAAGAGGGCACGGGCACACTAATACACCTCATCGCCATATATTTTAGGTGGCAGGAAGGCAAGGGGCCTGGCTGGCTGGATGGCAGGGTGGCAGGATGGTTGGCTGTCTGGCTGGCTGGCTGGCTGGCAGCGCAATCACTTGGCCGCACACAGCATTCGAATTCAATTTGGCAGGCGGCAAAAGCGCAAATCGTTCAACAAATACACACACACACACACACACGGACACCCATACACCACCAATACATATAGACAAAAAACACAATACAAACAATTTACTTAGATACGGCGCAGGGCAGCTGTAAAGGAACGCAAGAAATTGGCAACTAAAGCCAAAAATCGATTGTGATGTTGCGTTTCTGTTACTGTATGTGTATGTGTATGTGTATGCTTGAATGTTTATATATATTTGTGTGGAGGCTTACCCATAAGTATGTATACTTTTGTATTTAGTGTCAGCAAAAAATCTTTTCGTCACTGAATCTTTCAACGTCAGCTGCCGCAATGACAACTCTTATTACAAGGCTAATAACTAACAAGTTTGTAGCTGCTACAGAAGCTAGATTGTTGTCTGTTATTGCAAAAGGGTGCAGGTACAGGTGCTTATAAAAAAAAATTCCCAGAATGAGCCATCCGCCTTGTATAAATGTATACTTCATTATTACGGTCCAGCTGTTCACTGAAGCAAAATAAACTGAAGCTGGTATTGTCGGTTGTCTCAATCAAAAGGAATGCCAACATTATTATACTTTTGTTTTTTTTTTTTCGATACCCAACCAACCCCCCTTTAGGTCTGGTACTGCAAATATTTGTCGTATTGTCGATTCCACGAATTTCTCTTTGCACTTTCACATTTATTTACATACATTTTTTCCTTTTTTATAAAATGTATCAGTACATTGTCTGGCCAACGAGGCGAGTTCAAAGACCGCAACCGTACGTAAATGTTTATTTGGGGGGACCCTGTTTTTTTTTTGTACATTTAAATTGTTAAAAAAAAGCTACGTTTTTAATATGAAAGCACTACTTCGATAAATATTAACGCGATTTTTAAAAGGAAAAGGGTGTTCTAGAATTTCTAAATGCCAAATATATGTATGTAACAGGCAGTAGGGACTACATCAGACCCCATAATATACAGGTGTAGGAAAATCTATGTATGTTCAGAAAGACTACTCGTATAGTTGCTAGGGATACCAAACTTGTCTTATCCACATGTACAGCAAGATTGTTAGAAACAACATTTTATATAGCCTCAATAATTCATATCATTGGCATAGGATTTTTTTGTTTTTAGATATATATTAAGCTAAGAACACTGAAAACTATTACAAATTTTAGCGAATCGTGTTGTATCTCTAGAATTTCAATTTGTTGTACATGAATCGAAAAGAAATTCTATTCAGTTCATGAAACAATCACTTTAAAAAGTTGGTAAATAAAATATAATAATTTCTTTCAAGGATACATTACTTGTTAAAGGTAATCAACACGAAGAGTTGACTCCAGTTCCTTTGAATAAAATTAAGGTCCGTCCAGGACTAATATTATTAGCATAGCATTCACCTCTTTATTTATTGCCTTATAAGATACGTCTCACGCTGTGGATGTTATAATAAATCTCAAATGTTTTCATACTGTATGCAATTAAATCTATTATAATAGTCCGTTGAGTGTAAACGACTTGCTGTTAAAAGTCCTGCTCTTCCAATAAATCGTGTGATTAAATTTCTCAAACTTGCATACCACACATTACGAAAACAATTTAAATAGTTGCTGCGAATTCGACGAACTTGATAGTACAAGTAAACACATACATACGTGCACTATAGACGGCTTCAAGCATGCACTCGAAGCGGACTTATATTTATGAGTGGGCAGAGGGACCAGAGCATTTAATAGCTCTGACTTGTGCACCCAGCAATAAAAGCAAGAACAACAATAACAGCAACCAGAATAGGAAAATTCCAATCAATGGCAGCGGCAGTGGCAGCATCAGCTCATGTGCGACGCAGCTGCAGAAACCTTTGTGTCCTTGAAGCGAGCGCAGTGCAAGGATTTACTGGATCCTGGTGTCTGGTTGGTTGGCCGCCTATCGCATTCGTTGCAAGCAGTTCGCAGGGCTGGCCTTGATGCCACAATTGCTAGAAATTGAGAATTGAAAGCAATGTGTCTGCACGCACATAATAGATAAATGGTGCTGGTTTCATTATATCGAACAATGCTCACTTGAAATCTGAATTTTGAATAACGTTATTCGATTTACTATGAAATAGTTTACAATAGTTTACCATACGCCAAAGGACTTAGGAGCAGGTGCTTACTTCTATATATTCTACTAGCAGGTCCTGTCTGTCTTTGATGGGCTCAGTATTCTTGCTTACAATATGCTATTTCTCTTCCGACACTCTCTAAAATTTCTAAAGGAACTGCCAATACCAAATTACTTTACTGGTACGATCCGAAAGCTAGGACATATAAGTAGAACAATACATACTGTGACCATTCACTACTACTTACATACATACATATATTGTTTGTATGTACATGTGTAAATTTCTGTAAAATAAAATTATATGATAAATTAAAAAACATTTGGGCGCCCTCCTTTGTGCAAATCTAGAATTGATTTGTGATTTTCTGAAAAATTAAATAATAATATTGGGAAATTAAATTGTGAAATTTCTGAAAATGAAATCAAAATTCACGTACTATTTACATACATGTTGAACTTATGCAACTGCAAAACATATAAAGGAACATGCATTCATACTTATGTATGAATATGCACAAAATACATATGTGTATGTATGTAATATTATTATTATAATTATTTCTTTAATGAAAATTTCCAAGAACATTACGCAGTTTATCTTGCATTCTTTCTTAGAGTAAATAACCCAAGTGTAAGTTAAAGTCACTTGTGTCTAAATATATAGATTGTCGATATCTTTAGTTGTTTTAAGAAGAGTGTTAGTGAATGAACCCGATAGGTCAAATGGATCCCTATTATAACTTATTCCTCATAATTAACGGCAGATTTTATGTTCTCGTATAAAGACAAATAAGACACAAGAGCAGAATAAAATTGTACTAGCGACGTAATAAATAACTCACCCAGTATGTTTTCCCCTAACTAACAGAATCATGACTAAAGGACAAAAGTATGACCGAATTATTATAGCAGCTTTTCCCCTAACCGTACACTCTCTTCCGTTTGTTTTTTAACAGAACATTCAAAGAGGTTAATTGTCGAATGGTAAGAGCTTTAATTTCTTTGATAGCTAAAGAAAAGAGTCCTCTATGCTTTAATTGCTTGTAATTGTCAGTAATAATACTAAGTAGTTTGGTTAAACTTCTGCAGAAATTTGATTCGAAAGTTCGTAATCCGTTAATTGAAACTGAATTCGTTAGATGAAAACAACTCATAACACACACTCGTTTATTCGATGAGGCATATTCAGACATTTTATTTATGTACATATGTACTTGTATATCTGAGACATAAGTGCACCATTCCCGAAGTTATTTGCCAAGCATTTCTTCACCCTTTGCGGCCCTTACTCGCACGTACGTCCTTACACCAACGACTGGCATTTGTGGAAAATATTGCGTAATGCGGCGCATGGCAATGCAAAATTCTTGCGGATTTGCCTGCCACTATTGCTATATGTACACGCTGATATTTAATCAACAAACATGCATACTTGTAAATGGATGCGAGAATATGGGCTACATAGTCGTCGAACAAGTACAAATAAGTGCCACAAATTTAAATGAGATTTGCTAAGGGGAAGTATTGATGGGCTTGGGCCAAATGCAGGGAGAGCCAAACTATATAAAACATACGTGTATACTTGTATGTATGTATGTACATCTATGTGGCAAAGTATTCTGCAACTCGGCCGAGACGAAATCAAATATGCCAGCTAAGTGGCAAGCAAACACTCACTGCCGGCCATTTACGAGTAGACGCAAGCACCATCTGTGTAACCGATCAGAAGAAGTGGCAAGCGGAAATAAGTCGAAATGAAAGCATTACTATAGCGTGTGGCAAATCAAGTAATGAAGCCGCAACATCCGCCATTGTCCTGGTAACGTTCAGAGGCGTCTTGCAGGACCAACTGATGACGATTGACATGTAACGCTTATTGAAAATAACATGAAAATAAAATCAGTTAACGAATATGGGGCAACTTTCTCATTTTTTTCCCATAAATAAAGGCAGAATTTTCGTGCTTACTCCAGTAGTTCTTATATTTCTACAACAGTATAAAATATAACTTATTGTTATTTGTAAATATCAGCTTTAAATACCGTTTCCCCAGGAAACAGCAGCACTGCTTTCCAAAACAGTTTCAAAGTTTCTAGAATTATTTAGACATGAAAAACAAAATAACGTATTTTCGGTTTTGTGGCCAACAAATAATTTATATTCCGAACTCACATTGTATCTATAACATATTTTTAAAGAAATATTAATGTGAATATACTCTATACAGAGAGACCCAAAATGAAATTAAAAATTTGTGTTCCTACTTGTAATACTTGGATTGGTTAGGTTGGGATCTTTAAAAACCGGCTTGTTTCGCTATGTAGATTTAAGGCTTATGTATGTATTTGGTAGGATCAATTGCTGGCGTGATGCAAAATTGTACAGTTTTTAGTGAAATTCACGTTTTTACTTAAAAACTAATCTCAAGATAAACAAAAAGAGAAAAAAACTTACTGTTTAGTTAATCTTTGAAGACATCTAATTTTGGTTATTTTATATGGTTATTTATATATGCTAGGAGCATTCCCACGATCCTTAGACATTTGTCCCAAGCCGATGCGAAAATCTTCGCCAAAGGATACCCTCCGACTTTTCAATACACTATGTACTATATTTTTCAACATAGAACTTCTCTTTATGATTTCGTCCAGAAGCGGGGAAGTTGAAGATATTCGAGTTTCCGAACAACAAAAATAAAATGCCCATACTCATATTGCATACATACATACATACTTACATACATACATACAAGCATATATAGCCATTAAACCTTCACAATCGCATTATGTGGCACGCATTGTGTTGCTGATTGTACAATTACGAACAATGTTCTTTGTATCTTCTTTCTAATATTTCGCTTAATTGTGTGGGCGTGGCAGTGGTGTGTACATGTGGGTGGAGTATTCGCATTCGTATGTGTGTGTGTGTGTGTGTGTGTTTGTTTGTCATTGAATAAATCGCATAAGCGTTAGAAAGTATGTATTGACAGCTATGTCTGTTTACACAATGTATTTGTATTTATGTAAGCATTATGTGTTGAGCGCACCTTTGAAGTCAAAACTGTCCGTGCGGTAAACAAGGGCAGTGAAGCTTCCTTTAAAAGGCAGCAACGTCCGATCTTTCAACTGCCAAGGAAAAAATGGAATAATACTCGTAGACCCTTTGGGAAACTTGACGCCATTTATGTCATAGAGAAGGACTTGCCATTGAAAGGAAAATACAATTGCCTAAACAAGGCTTCTTATCATTCTTTCCTTAGGCAACATATTTTATAACAAACTAATTGAATTCAAATTTCATCTTTCTGCAATAAATTTAAATTACAAGAGTGTGTGAGCGGTCCTTTCGCACTAAAAAATAAACAACCTTATACGTGAGTGGGAGAGAATTATTTTGTGGCTACAAATTGTCCGCATAGCTGCACACACAGACACACACACACACACACACACACACTCATATACACTCACAAACACACGCGCGCGCATGTAAGCACACACGTAGAGGGAAGGAAGCAACATTTTTCATTTTATTATACTTGTGACGTGCTTGCAAAAATTTTCCATAGTTGAGTGACAGCAATTGGCCGGCGCGAAGAAATGAAATTCCAAGAAATTTTGACTCAAACACCACAAAAAATATGCTAAAATATCGAAGCAAAAATACTTAAATAAATAAGTGTTCGAGACAAAAGAAACTAAAGAAAAAAAATAAATATTTACGTTGATGATGACAAAGCCTGTATGTATAGTAATACTTATACATACATATATGTGTTCATATGTATTTATGTTTTCATGTACATATAAGTTGTTCTTCATGAAAAATTGAGACTCTATTCTTGTTCCCGCCAATAGTGATGAAAACCATCATTGTGTGTTCAAATAACAATTAGTTCGATTAAATGCCAAGGGAATATATGTTGCCAAGCTATTTTCAGGTAAAACGGGAGTGCCCGAGGAACCTTTTTCTAGTGTTGACTTCCTTCAAAACTTCGTTTAAATCCATAGTTTTCTTGACCCTGACATTGATATTCGGCTATTGTTCAATCCACTTTTATAATAATTTTTCCTCGGCGGCTCTAAGTTTTAAAATTTAAATCATTTAGTCAAATGTCCTTATCTCTCGATTTTTCCAAGATTTTGCGGTTAAAGGGGTTAAAGTAACAAATAGAAGGAAGCATGGTATATACTATACTTGTATATGACGAGATGAGTCGATAATGTCATGTCATGTCAAAGATCTTAGGGCGTATAAGAGCTGGAATAACCAAACATGGCATCGAGTCTCTCCTCAGTTCCAGAAAGGACGTTTGTACAGGGCTTTTGATAGTCGAGTGTACTAATTCATTGTATAATAAGCAAACAGATGAATTCAAAATTAAGTTTGGTGACCTAAAATATGCACATAAGGCGACTATATGTTCTTGCTGGTCAGTAAAATATGTACTTCTGTTTTAGATCATAAATAATTAAAAAAAAAAGTTTTCTCTGTGACATAATATTGCCACTAAGCATTCAAATTATTAATTTTCGACACATATATGGAAAGAATATTTGAAATATATAGAAAGTGGCCAAGTATTGCCTTTAAGAGGCACATGTTTATCAAGACAATTAATAAAAGCCACACTATTGATATATATATTTTGCAGGCAATTTTATTTTCCATTAATAAAGTGCTTTAAATTGACTGTGTTAAGTCTGAGCTCGTTGAGAGCATTTTATTCGGCTCATGAATTTATCGTTCAGCTTAAAATATTCCTAATACTATGTAGCTTGCCATTTGCCCTCGACCCCACAAATTTACTTGTGCGTGTAGAGTTACCGAAAGGAAAAGTAAAGTAAAGTCTTTTCTTGGAAAAGAGGCGAGTCGCATTCCTGCAGGAGCGAAGTGAGTCCGTGTCAAGCAAGTTGTTAATTCCTCAAACTTGCTCAAATTTCAAGAGAAATGAGAATCATACAACGGGTATTTGTTTTAAGTACTTAAAACAAATCAAAAGGAGCAGCAATGTCCTTCAGAGATGTGGTCAAAGCTTGTTGTCCTTTCAACACCAAATAAAACCTATGTTTGTTTGCATTACAGTTCATGCAAAGGATGCTGCGGAAAGATAGTGCATTTGATATACAGAAGTTTTCACGCACACCGACCTGCAATCTTGTCAATACGTGTGTATACATACATACTATATATACTATACAGATGTATAGTATAACGTTGTTGAATCATGTGACGTCCTTGACACATCATCAAGCTGGGCGGCCTGAGTGCATTTTGACCTGCCTTGTATATGCATTGTCCTGGTTTTTTGCGACTGCCTCACCTGTTGCCAGATTCAGTTGGAAACTGGAAACTGGAAGAACTGCGCTCTCCATAAGCTCAACAAGCAGCAGTCTGCCAGTACCTAATTAAACTTTTATCCACGTTCCCATAAAAACACATAGTCCATATGCTCATACGTATATATGCAACTATTCCCTTGCATACTAATGAACTTAATTATGGAGTAAAATAAATATACACACATACAAGTACATAGCTAGTACCTGTAGCTTCCATGTTGGCAAATTTGCTCGCAATATGAATATGCAGCTTTCCCGTTGTCAGCGCATCAGATGTAAAAAATTTCCATTTTATAGCCTTGAGTCCAATTAGCGCATAGCTTATTATTTGTATAAAAGAGTGTAATTTAAAGTTTTAAGTGCGTTAATTCATATCTGTTCACTATTTCACAGACTCTATAAATTGAAATCACTAGAACAATTCAAGATCTTTTAAATATCAATAAATAATTATTGCCAATAGTTGTACTAAACATAAACAAGCCTTTTCTTGGACTAAAGAGGCCCTGTTGACTGCATAAGTTTTGTAAGAATAGGTCTTAATAGGCCAGAAGTAGTGAAGTAGTGGGTTTCCTAAAATTAAAATTGAAAATTTAGCTGAATGGTTTTAAAGAATTACATTTTAATAGATTTATTTTCCTGTTGCTCTTTTTTCATATTTTCATATGGGTACGTTTTTCCAAAATGCATAGTTTCGGGAAATCTTGAAAAGGTGTAAAGGAATTTAAATTTAAATCACTGGTAAATCACTGATTATTCATTTGACTAGGCCTGAATCAAATCATATTAAATTGCATGTTACTAGCGCCGACAATTCCGTTTTCAGCTAGAATATAAAAGATATACATATATATTATTACCAATAAGACCAATTTCCAATTAAGACTGCAGTGTCAAATTTTCACTGTTCGCCTATCAACATGGACGTTTCAAAATATATACGGCGTGCTAGCAAAGATAAAGATTGTGGCTATCGCAAAATTGACTTTTATTTGGTCGCCTAACATTTTGACTCGATGCTGCCGAAATATAAAACTGAATATGAAATGACCGCTGGCGAGAAATAAATATCAGTTTGCAAACAAACAAAGAGCAATTTATTTTCCTGTGCACACGTGAGGCCGTACGGGGAATTAGGTTTGATGCACTCTTACCTGGAATGTGACGTGGTGGGAGACGTTATTGGCTCTGCGGCTGGTTGAAGTGCGAAAGGAGGTACTGTGCTATCTAATGTTCATATACATATACACACTCCCAACACCAGAGTGGGATTGGGAGGGGAGGAGAAACAAAAAGTCATTGTTATTGTTGTGTGTGGAACGAATTTGTTGGCGCCCATTAATAACGTCCATTAGGGACAAAGGGTATGTGGCAGATTTGAAATTGAAAGCAAAAATGTGTGGCACGGCATGCATTTGATCGTCCGTTTTCATTCTATTGTGAGGGAAGCACTCTTGTGTAATTGGTTTTTATTCAAATGGACTTTTAATATGAGCTTTGTTCATTTTGTTCAACGATAATTGCCATTATTTGGCGATTTCAATGTAAAGTTCTATTTACAATTAGTTGCCACCATAGTCCATAGTCGCACATCATATATATAGCTGACATATATTTACAATGTCTGTACAAATGTCTGATTTTTGCAGTTCGACCTTTTTTAATGACACTAATTAAAACATGAAGGCACTTGATATAAATCAACCACAATCTCTGACTGTAACCGGGCAGCTTACGAGCGAGGAGCAACGCAATGCAATACGGTGAGTGATAAGCAACTTCTTATAAATACTAAGTTTTGGATAAACAGAGTTAAATAAATCATGTTCCCACACTATTTGTACGTTTAGGAGAATCGTAGACCAATTAAGTTATTAATATTTTTGCTCATCTTATTTACTCAAACGTCAATCAGCATTTCTAAAAGTTATAACAAGCGACATTATTTGTCATCACTGAGGCGCTGAAGCTTAACTTGCGACAATCTCACGAAGGTTCTCTGGATAAGCTATGTACTTAGTTGAAGTGGATTAAAAAGCGCTCAGTATTGACAGCAGGGCTGGTTTGTCATGTGTTCGTAGTCAGGAATCAGTTGACATCTGGAAGAGCGATCTAGAAATTTCATTGGGATGTATGGGAATTAAGAAATGTACGCTGTTTAGCACTTTGTTTGCTCTTGTTTGTTGGAGAGAACATGACAATAATTACTTTCTAACAATAACATATTGCGTACTTGGATGAATAAGTTAATCTGGGCGTACATTTAGATTTTAAAAAAAGAGTTTTTCTTAACTTAAAATTAATAGATTGTTTTTAAGTGAATAAAACTACTTGATTTTGGTACTAAGTGTATAATAGTGTGAATAGGAAAAAGAGGACAGTTTAATAGTAAAACGTTACCATTGATTGTAGGTCGGAGCGCGCTTCAAGTCTGGCCTTGCCATTAAACTCATTGCTGGACTTCTACGACAAACAACAGGAGCAATGCAAGTCTGTGTCCTTACTGCCCACCCGTGTCGCCAGCATGGTGCGCCGCCACTCATCGCACTATTATCCTATGCTGGAGGATAAGCAACATCCCCTGCAGGTGTCGAGCGAGCGACCAACAGAGCTGCTGGTGAGTATGCGGCAATATTTTGCCAATATGTACTTATTAAGTATAAAATATATATAGATATATAGGAGATAAATAACACAATGTATTTGTTGTATCGGATATTCCCTCCACACATATATTGCTTGTTATGCTTATTCTTCGCTGTGCTTGTCTTTCTGATAGGTAAACGGAGCAAAGCAGAAATTCTGCAAATCAGCCGGCTCAGCCACATCCAAGCCAACAGTGGTGCGTGTTGACACTCCCGTGACGCCACCGCCTCCCATACCGAGGCGTATGTTCCGTGGCAAATCCGCTTGGCATGCCAACGAAACTGGAATCAATGATGTATCCATGCAAATTCAAGCTTCGATGGCGTTGTCTGCTCGCAACGCGCTACAACAACAGCGGCAGGAATCCATTGCCACAGTGTTTGTTTATCCGCAGCAAACAAACTCAGCCCCGGCAGGCGTTCCAGCATCGAGTGGTGGAAAAGTTGTGGGCGATGTTGTTGATGCCGCCTATATGCCAAGCCAATCGACAGGGCTTGTTGATATGAGTGCACGGCCAATGTATGCGGATGCCGATGGTATATCCGATGATGACCGCATGAGCTTGGAGAATTCCGTGTTTGATGAGTCACTGACTTCCACACCCGTCAAGGTTGGCAGCAGTCATGGCAGATATGCCAGTGCAGGTCGAGCCATGGGCACTCTGGGCATTGATTTGAGCTTGAGTCACATAGTAAAACGGGCCAATCGTTCGTCCAGCAGCACCGTGGACTCGACCACCATGTCCTCGGGCTACGGCTCGTCTGGACACAGTGAGCGCTTTGCCTCCACCTCAACAACCGCTGATTTTCGCAGTCGTTTCTCCTCGGTTGATACGCAATCATCGCTGGACGGCAGTCTGGTTGAAAAGCCAAATGACTCGCCACTGTCGAAGGACACGTTCAAATTAGAGCGTGCTGCGTTCCACGACGTCATGCACAAAATCAACAACAATGAGGTGCGAGGTATGTGCACTCCCAGCAACAACAACAACAGCAACAACAACAGCTTGACGCGCTCAACAAGCGCCAGCAATCGGTCAGCTCTGCCGGTGGTGCCGGCACGCAAGCCGACAGGCGCCAACAACATGCTGCCGCCTTGCAACAACAGTGGCCACAACTCATCAAGCGACTCCAACAAAGACACTAGCAGTGTATCCGCCTCGGCATCCACCTCGTCGGCAGCATCGGCTGGCTCTACTAGCACGATGTCCTCCTCTTCCCTGGGAACGGGTCCGAGCCCTGGAATGCCCGCTACAGTTGCTGCTGTTGCAGTGGCCACTAACAATCAGAAACGTCCAGTGCCACCGGTCCCACCGGTGCGCACACATAACTCCTTCGAAAGCACAGAGAGCAATGCCAAGACCCAGGCGGCGTCGTCACAACCGCAGTCCATACGCAACAAGTTGAATCGCACCAAGCCACCGCCAATTACGTATCCTAAGCTGCAGCAACGCCAAGACTCAACGCTGTCGAGCGACAGCTACTCGATCACCTCCAGTCCTGGCTACAACTCCAAGAACCTAATGGAGACACCGCTGCTTCAGCCAGCCATACGTAAATCTGGTCCCGGGGTAGCGCAACGACAACCTACCATTGGCAGTGCCGATCAGGCAACCACTCGCTTCGTCATCGGCGGCAATAGTCATCCCAGCTCTATTTCGCGCGGCAAAAATAATTTCAGACAGGACTCGACCATATCCAGCGATAGTTTCAGCCAGACATCCAGCCCGGGCTACAACTCGAAGATTATGGAGGCACCCTTGCTACCCTCATTGTCGGCCAAGCGATTATGTAGCGGTAAGAGACGCTTTGTTTTTAGATATTTGGAGTCTTTTAACTTTGCAATCCGCATTTCTTGTACTTAAGCTGATTTCTTAATATATTTTTTCAAATAATTCGCAGCTCCCGCTCCCATTATATGCCAGGGTGTGCAGCACGAGCCCATCGAGGAGTTGGAGCCTTCCCAGACACTGACGGCTTTGAATAAGTGCATGACAACGCCCAGCAGCTTGCAGACAATTGTACGCTTTCAAAACGGTGCTCCTCACACCATGTCCTTACAGAATCAGGTTTGCAGTTAACATACTTGTACAACATTAAGCGATTGGTATGGTGAAACTAAATCCGGTTCTTTGCAGATAATAACGCGTCGCAAGAGTTCCAATCCCTATATAACAAATGGCAGATTAAAATTCCGTCTCTTTCAAATTCTGATTAATGCTTTCGCCTTGTTGGCCATTGCTGGTGGCCTCGCGGCCTATTTCAATGCGTATCCGACCATCAAATTTGTAAACAAGACCATCATCAATACGATTCACGTTGAAGAACTCTCGAGCTTTGGAAAGAATCCCGCCCCTGGTACTTGCTTGCCGATCATTGTGAAATTTTGCCAGGGACCCCAAATACCATACAACTATACCGTCTTTCCAAATTACATTGGACACTTCGGGCAGCTGGAGACGCAAGTGGTAAATAGATAGAGTATTGCATTACCGTTACATTACTCAGCTTTCGCCCACAGGATCTCGATTCTTATGAAGCTCTCGTTGATGTACGCTGCTATGAACTGGTCTCCCTCTTCCTCTGCACCTTATTCGTGCCCAAGTGTGGAAGTACCGGCGCCACTGTGCCGCCCTGTAAGACGCTCTGCACAGAGACAATGAGACGCTGCGGCTTCTTCTTTGACGTTTTCGGCCTCAGCCTTCCCGAGTATTTGAACTGTAAACTTTTTAAGGATTTCTCTAGTGCTGAGGACTGCGTGGGTCTCGACGAAGTGCGGGATGTAATGATAGCTGCCACAAACCCCAAATGCGATGGCTTTCAGTGCGACCAGAACCGTTGTCTGCCCAAGGAGTACGTGTGTGATGGCCATCTGGACTGCATGGACCAGGCGGACGAGGCCAAGTGCGAGAGGTGCGAGCAGGATGAAATTTACTGCGGCGATGATCGCTGCATTGGTCCCAAGCACATATGCGACGGTATCATCGATTGTCCCTACGGCCAGGACGAGCGTAATTGTCGTAAGTAATCGAGACGTGCCCCAAATTATAGTTCGATGTGACGACGGTTTCCTTTTAGTGCGTCTCAGTGAACGGAATGGCGATGTGGGGATAGGCGTGCTCGAGGTTTTCCGCATTAGCATGCGCCAATGGATGCCAGCTTGCGTTAAGAACTGGGATCGTGGAGTTTCGCCAAGTGCCGTCTGCTCCATTCTTGGTTATAGCGCTGTAAATGCAACCAGTGTGGTCACCCAAAGAACACATCGACCTCTGCTGGCTGCGGTTAATGTCACCGACACATGGAAGATGTACGCTAAAAAACGCTCAACACTAATGCAGGAGTTTTCCAATTGCAAGCAGTCGGAGGACTATCCCATCGCTGAACTGACCTGCTCTAACTACGGCAAGTATTCTAGATGTTAGTTCTGAGAGAAATTTTCGTTAATACTCCTCCTACATAGAGTGTGGCAAGGTGAAACGTGGACGGCACAAGCCTGCCCGACGCATCATAGGAGGATCGAAAGCAAATCCCGGTAATTGGCCCTTCCTGGCAGCCATTTTAGGTGGGCCCGAAAAGATTTTCTATTGTGCAGGCGTCCTGATATCTGATCAGTGGGTGCTCACAGCATCGCATTGCGTGGGCAAGTGAGTATCTTAGTCTTGTCTATCTTGTCGCAATATGGAATGCGTTTATATTTTCCACACCCCTATAGCCACACCGTCATCGACCTGGAAGACTGGACTATTCAGCTGGGTGTAACGCGACGCAATTCTTTTACCTACACTGGACAGAAGATCAAGGTGAAGACGGTTATTCCGCATCCGCAGTATAATATGGCCATAGCACATGATAATGACATTGCACTCTTTCAAGTAAGTAATATACATTTTATGTTGTGCCAGTATTTTTGTTGAGGTGCCTACTGTAGTGCAGCAAGAAGAGGGAAGAAAAAAGCAAGATAAACCAAATATATAACAAGAGCGGGTTAGTGAAATGCGCTGTACCCAGACAAACTTCCGACACTGAGTAATGCTTGCATACCAAGTTTGGTTAATGTACGCTCAGTTCCGAAATCCTGATGTTCATCCAGACAGACGGACGAACGGACGAACGGTCATGTCTATTTCTCTCGTCATGCTGATTGAGAATGCTTCCTTCTGCTTGTTACATACTTTGCACCAGCCTAAGGGTATAAAAATGAGTATTTAAAACGTTCACATCGAGCACATATTGAAGCATGCTAGAAACGGCTTCATTTTCACGATTTAAGCAGTGTTTTATAATTTTAATATTGACTTCATAAAATTGATCGAAATATTCAATCTATAGCTGGCAACGCGCGTTGCTTTCCACGAACATCTCTTGCCCGTTTGTTTGCCGCCACCAAATGTCAAGTTCTTGCGTCCCGATCAGTTGTGCACCGTCATTGGTTGGGGCAAGCGTGAGGACAAGGATCGTAAGTTGAAATTTGAAATAGAATATATTGAGCTTACTCTACAATATTACTTCATTATTGTGACAATAGCCAAGTCCACGTATGAGTTCATAGTGAATGAGGTGCAGGTACCGATTATCAGGAGAGCTCAGTGTGATGAATGGCTGGACAACCTAACTGTTTCCGAGGGCATGGTATGTGCTGGCTACGATGATGGTGGCAAGGATGCTTGTCAGGTAAATGAGATGGATATGAAAGAGTGCTGGCAATATTTTTGCACATTCAAATACTATACAGGGCGACTCGGGAGGTCCTTTGCTCTGTCCCTATCCGGGTGAAAAGGATCGTTGGTTCGTTGGCGGTATTGTCTCTTGGGGCATTATGTGCGCTCATCCCAAACTGCCCGGCGTCTATGCAAACGTTATTAAGTACGTTCCCTGGATACAGGAACAAATGCAAAAGTATACGCGACCTATTAGCGAAGATCGAGTCCTCAAATACGATTCTCATCCCGGCGGACCCGACATATTGTCGAAAATGGCAACAGGTCCTATAAGAAGTAGGAAACCATTTTATTATCACAATGGCAAGCCGATGGGCATCGACTACTACGATAGCGGCGAAAAGAAGTAAGTGGAATATGTTTAAATTAAGTGGAACACATACATATGTATGTATGTATTCACACCGATTTAGCAGCATATATTGTTAATGAATATCGTAAACATAAAATGTAGTGAATGTCAAAGCTAAAAAACATACAATGTAGTGTATCGTATGCAAACATCTAAAACATGAATAGAGCATATCCCTGAAACAATTATTGTATTCGAGACATACACATACATCTATACCTATACCTTTACCTGGAAGCATACATATAAAGAGATGTTACCTATACATATATATTTTGCTACTGAAACTTGTGGTATTAGTCATTTTGATATAACTAATACGCATACGATCTGGGTAACAAAATCATGTGTCAATTTGCCGAATTTATTTGTCAATTTTTTACGAAGAGATTTCTATATACCTTTTACCACAAACGAATCCACGAAACAAACGATAATTGTCAATGAATATAGCAAATCGATTCATTTCAATATTTACATGAACCTCGACGTACTATATGTATATGTATGTATGTGTACCAGCGTACAATAATTATATTGAATGTGTCTGAATGTCAAATATCGTGGACAATAATAATAATAATTCCTAATAATAATTTTGTTGCTAAAATGGACAGAATTAGATCAAATGGCTCATCATACCGTATTACTTGTACGTATGTTGTATTATAAGTGTATAGAATAACGAGCTCATGTATGTCTACATATATATAAATATATATATACATAAATATGTGAATTCGCCTATATAGAGCCACGATAGTGAGAAAATTGGATAATCAATAACAAATAAAACGATGGATATAACAAGAATGTATGATTGCCACTGCTAATGATTAAAAGGTATTAAATAGCTTAAACAAAATGATTATTGAATAAAAATGTAGGTAAAAGTTCTACTACAAGTATATATAACTATAAATACTACATCAAAGAAGTGTAGACAAGTTGCTGATTCTTAAGCATTTGATGGGTTGCAGGGCCTCAAGATATTTACATAAATAAAAGCTGCTAAAAATACAAGTATGTGCATATCGTTTGCATCAAATATCATTTCACGCTGAAATGAATATAAATATACATATATGTATATGTATAGGCTTAAGAACTAAGTGAAGCTACTATATACACATACATATGTATAACCGATAATGTGAAATGTGCAATTGACAATAAAATGCACGAATAACTAAAAGAGAAAACATTATTTTAAAAGAAATATTAAAGTATAACTAAAAATATCTTTATTTAACGTGGATTTTGTAAAACCAAGACTTAAATCTTTTTAAGCCTTGCTTGCGTCTAGTGTAAACGAATGCAAATTTTGGAATATATAAGTCGTGAAAATATCAACTACAATGCGTGGGTTTCAGCTTTAAACAAAATGAACATGTCAAAAGGAAAAGTACAGAGTATATCGTAAACGTATACAGACGTATGTACGTACATACATGTAAAATATATGAAAGTAAAAAACTAAAATGACGTACTATTTACACTAAATGATAAATGAAAAAATATATACATGCTTTTTATTAACTGAAATGTTGCACAACTAAATGTTTATATGTAGTTATACACATATACACACATATATGCTTATATCGGCTGAGCGGACTGGTCCTGAGACCACAGCTTATTTGATTCAAACACATTTTCATTTTAGTTACATTTTTGTATCCCCTGTCTTCTAGTGTAATCTTGTTTAACATCCCTACTTTCAGTTTTTTTTTTATCCATCAGCCCAGCCAATTTTTACATAAAAAATGCGCTTACTTTAATGACTGGCTGTATTTAAACGATATTACGATATATTACTCATATAATGTAATGCTCATTCAATAAATGAGCCGAACGCATAATTAAAGACTCAAAATTGGTTGTTTCAGCTACCATGGAGTAGCACCCAAAAGCAGAAGAGCGCATAACATTTTCACAAAATGCATGCAAGTATAGCTCAAATAAATAAATTTGCCGATTTTATTGATATGTAGTGTATGTATTAAATATATATGCACACATATTATAAAACTAACAAAAGCTGGGCAAAACTTAACTGTTTTATTTAAATTCTTGCTTATTGAGATGCTTTAGAAGGTAATTGAGCATGCATAACTAAGTATATACATACATTCGTATCGTATTGACATTAGTTAACAATGGATGTTTTGTACAATCAGTTTACAAAATAAAGAAAACAAAAATAATAATAGAAAAATGAAGCGCATATTACACAAGGCACGTCTGTTCTTTTAACCAAATAAGTGAACAAAATTAAACTATAAAAGAATAGCAGAAAGGAATATATGTTTATATATCAAATATATATAGTATATAAAGTAATCGTAGCACGTAGGCAGATGTGATGGTGTCTAGATCAATATGTTATTATGCACGTACATAGCGACCCTATAGTTTTATACTGCAAACTTTCTATCCCCAAAGATACAACATTTAAAGACTCTATGATGATTTCAAAAATACATAACTTGATTTGAAAACTAAAAACAACAGTCCTCTACAGTTGGAGGAGAACACAGGCGCTATTTCAGTGAACAAAAAAAAAATCAATTGATGGAATGGAGTTAAGTTTAAAGCATAATGGTTCAATAGTTTATGCAGGCACAAAAATTATATAGACTTACGCATTTATTTACCATTTATAAGAAATTTCTATATTGGCTGTTAACGCCTAAGTTCGATTAAAAAATATTTACTTTCTGTATGAGTTTATAAATCAAAGTGAGCTATTTTATACATACATACATATGTATATCTATGATCCTGGCTTCTATCAAAACGCTTAGCTTTATGTATATTTAGACCTTAGCAAAAATATAAAAACATATTGTAAATGTTGAAATGCTTAGCATTGAAAGGAGGAAGTCAAGTAAGTTACAAATACTTATGCTAAGTAAAAGTCGAGTAACGAAAAGTACACGAGCGTACATACACATACTATTATACATTTGATATAAAATCAATTACAACACCCAATTACAATATCTACGCATGTATCAAAGATATACAATTTAAAAAAACAAAAAAAAGCGGCTTAAAAAACTCGTTATTTTATACACAGTGAGAAATGTTTTTATTTTCCTTAATGGATCCTTAAGTTTCAAGTGCTCCACTATTTAATGTGCTTTAAGCCAACTAATAAAAACCACTAAGCAAAGTAAATAAATGTAGCGAATTGTTGATTGTATATGTAGTAAAAATATTTAAATGAAACAGGAAATGATGGTAAAGGATCTGAATTTTGGCGTAACTGAAATATTTATACACAAAAAGTTTTTACCAATTCAAAAATAACCCTAAAAGCACTTGTTAATTACGCACTGGAACATAAGAATCAAGGTGTTGGAGAATTGAAGAGAATCTAAAACTTGGACAATAAAAAAATACACACAATAATTTTATATGAAAACAAAATGATGCTTTATTGTTTAAAAACGGCCACAGCATAGGCAATGAGAATTTACGGAACGTCTTAAGCGCAGCGACAATTTTTTGGGAAAATGTATTTAAAAAATGATGAGCAACTAGCACTGGTTCCTCAAATGCGTACTATATAAAACAAAATACAGTAAATAAGCCTAATATTAAGTAAGAAGATACATTCTATACAACAACAAGAAAATACACACATTCATTTACAGACTCGTGTAACCAGATAAATGCTAAAAGCAAGGTGTCATACATATACATACATATTATATACATACCTACATACATATATAAATGTTGACAAATAAATGTATAACAGTATACAGAAAATGCTATTAAACAGCAACACATGTCTTTTAATACAAATATTTAAGGTGGTTAAATATTTCAACCAGATTTTAGATTTCCCTGCTCGAAAGTTGTAACTGGATAAATTTGTTTATTTCTTTTCAATTATAACTAAACTTAAAATTTTGCTTTAACGATTTGCCCTTCTACTTTAAATAACGTTGCACAACCTCACGCATCTGCGTAATTGCTTGCCGCTGATCTGGTGCCCCCACCACAGCTGTGCCGGATACAATCATATTGGCGCCAGACTTGGCACAGCATTCAATGGTTTTAGGGCCGACGCCTCCATCGACCTCGATGTCAATGTTGGGATAGTTGCATCGTAGCCATTCAACCTTAGGCATCATGTCGGCCATGAATGATTGCCCACCAAATCCAGGTTCAACGGTCATGACCAACACAACATCTGCCACTTCCATGTATCGTGCGAGTTCCTCGACCTGTGAGAAACGTGTGTTTGTTTAATGACATACAAATGTACATACATAACCTCACACTAACTTTTGTAGCCGGCTTGATTGCCAGGCCTACTTTCATGCCCGACTCTTGTACCAGACGGCAAACATTGCAAACATCCTTCACCGGTTCTATGTGAAATGTATACAGGTTGACGCCAGCATCGGCCATGGGCTCTATCCATTGCTCCGGGCTATTGACCATCATATGCGTCTCGAAGTACGCGTTCTTATAGATATCAAAAGGACTTTAATTTCACTTCATTATCTAAATAGCACTGGTTGCATTGCATTTCCACCTTGAACGTACCTTGATATGGTTTCGCAAGCATTTGACCATGGGATGACCGAATGTAAGATTTGGCACAAAGTTTCCATCCATGACGTCCAAGTGAAGATAGTCGGCTCCATTGTCAAGTAATTTCTGTGATTCTGCCGCTAAATTGGCTAGGTCTGCGTTAAGAATGGAGGGTCCAATTTTAGCTTGAGGGGCCATTTTTGTGCAACAGCGGCAGAATGATCGTAAAAGTCGCTGTTGCAAAAGCTTGGGGTAAGCCGTTTTGTCACTGATAAGGTCAAACAGAGGGGAGCTTGCGCTCAGAATTTTGACGTTTGAAACAGTATGAGTACAATCTTAGCCTGGCATCATTTGGCTTGCTTACGATGCCAGGCATCGATGAAATATACTTGGCCATCACCATATAAGAGATGGGACGGTTTAAAAATTGTATGAAATACATAAATACATTTTATAATAGGGCTTTCTGGTAGATAAACGATTTTCACGCATAAAATAAACCCCTTTTGTTTGGGTTAATTTTATTCGTTATTTCATAAACCTGAAGTTGACTATTTATATACATATATTGAATTTACATTTTAGTCGTTTTAGTTATTGGTTAGTTTTTAAAGTACAAATATAACGCCGTTTGATGTCGATGGTAAAAACATTCTATTTATAATCAATCAGCTGTTAAATTCTCAAATATCGATACCTATGCTAGGTATGGTATTAAAGGAAATTAGATGGATGATTAAAATAACAAGAATGTGTTTTTTTTTTTTTGATAAACGTAAATTTTGTTGAACGTTTTTTTAGTCTGCGATGGCTACTCTTAAATTATTGCTGCAGAAAGTATAAAAATTTCAAAATATGTAAATATCGATATACCGATGTATATATCGAATGTTGATAGTTTCCCGTGCGTGAGTTAAAGCAACAGTTGATAGATATGTATGTACATGTATATGAATGTGCATCTTTGTTTTGAAACACAATCGCCACGGTGCGTCGTACATCGCATCGAATTGCAGTTTGAGTTCGACTATTAAATGCTTAAACCAAAAAAGGAGGCGTAAATTGTTATAGGTATATGTACTTTATGTAGATTTATTAAGGGATACGTGGCAGCATCAGAAGCTACAACTATGGCTATTGGCTGTTTCAATTGCTTCAATCGCGATGGTTACCAGCTTATTGGCACCTCAGGTAAGTTTTTTCGCCGTACAATAGTTAATATATGCAAATACATATGTATGTATATGTATAAATCAATACCGCAACTGTCTACAGGTCCGCGATTTGGTGTACGTCACCTGCAGTGCATACTTGCATTTTTTGGCCTAGCCGTGGCATATTCGTTACGCGTCAACCTCTCTGTGGCCATTGTGGCTATGACAGATCGTAACGCAAGTAACCCTAACTTTCCGGTGAGTTGAGAGATATTCATACTTTTTACTAAGTCAAGTAATATTTGTTGATGTTTTTAGGAATTTGATTGGGATGAGAGCGTTAAGTCCTACTTGTTAAGCAGCTTCTTTTGGGGCTACGTAGTGACACAAGTGCCTGGTGGATATTTGTCTGCAATCTATGGTGCCAAGTACATGCTCTTCTGGGGTCTGATTATCTGTTCCTGTTTGGCGTTACTTACGCCTTTCTGTGCTATGATAGGCGACTGGCAGCTGTTAGTTTTTCTGCGCGCCGTACAGGGTCTATGTCAGGGAGTTATCTTTCCCTCCATGCATACTTTTCTCTCTAAATGGGCTCCTGTCGAGGAACGCGGTCGTTTAGTTGGCTACTGTTATTCGGGATCGCAATTTGGAACGGTTGTCATGCTGTCTATTAGTGGATATATCGCCTCCTCACTGGGTTGGCCCAGCATATTTTACGTATCCGGTTGCTTTGGTATCTTGTGGTCAGTTTTGTGGTTTTACTACAGCGCCAGTATTCCAGCACAGCATCCTACTATCACGCATAATGAACGCTTTTACATTGAGTCTTCGTCCTCGTCAAATACAAATCGTGATTCAGCGATCCAGCTCACAACGCCCTGGCGGCGCATATTTACTTCAGCTCCGGTGCTAGTGCTTGTTGTCAGCCACTGCACCAATAACTGGGGATTCTGGACGCTGCTCACCGAAATACCGACCTTCTTGAAAAGCGTGCTGGGCATGGATATTCGTCACAATGGACCCTTGTCGGCGTTACCATATCTGACCATGTGTCTACTTACCTACGTCTTTATCTGGCTATCGGATTTACTCAAGCAACGCAACACAGCCCTACCACTCAATTATTCGCGAAAAATCTTCAATACACTTGGTATGTGGCTGCCCGCACTTGCGCTACTCGGCCTGGGCTATATTACAGCCGGAGGCGATAATGCCAAGGTGGCCATCGCGCTGCTCACTATAGCCGTGGCCACCAATTCAGCGACCTATCTGGGCTTCCATGTCAACCACATTGATTTATCCCCCAACTTTGCGGGTACGTTAATGGGGATAAGCAATTGCGCGGCCAATGTAATGAGCATATTAGCTCCACTCAGCGTTGGAGTCTTTGTCACTGATGAGGTGAGTCGGCATTTATCGTTAGCCCGGAAAAATGAAATAAACTTTTTATATTTCAGACTAATCCTGTACAGTGGCGAATCGTATTCTTCTTCAGCGCTTTTATGTACTTTTTTGGCAGTATGTTGTTTATACTATTTGGGCGGACTGATGTTCAATCCTGGAATACGCCATCACAGCAGCAGCAAACAAGAACATCTATATCAGAGAATTTGGCGCAAGAAAATAGTGAGGAACCAACAGAACGCGCGCCACTGTATCAGGATGCGTAAGTGATTTAAAGCACAAAGAACACTGTGATTAAGGCAATTGAATCGTGTACCTAAGTAACTGAGAGACATTCCAAGGAATTGATTGAGTGCTATCTTTACAAATGCTTTATAAATATTAAAGTATATAAAATATATATATACTACTGATGGAAATACACATGACAAAAAAATATATATATGTATACATGAAAGGTACAGTCTATGTATGTACCTTATAATTAAGTTCAAACTAGTACCTTGCATAATTTATTCCCAATGTAGCAGCATATTATTTGAAATATCATCGAATTTATTGTTAATTTGAATAAGTTATTTGTTTTTAATTTTAAAACCGCCTACGAAAGTACCACAGCGGTTACTTATTGTTTCTGTCTTTTGTAGAACCTAATTAAAAAAAGCTTCGTCATTCGATATATATTTTTAATTTATTTTAAAGTTGTTGTTAGTATTATTTTATACATACATACAATACTTATCCTTAAACATTTTATGCTACACTTTTATGTTTTCTATTTATTCGTATGCTACTAAATTAACTAAACTTTTCGAGACAACCAGTTGGTCGAACATTTTGAAATACAAAACATTTTTAAATGTAACTTGATTTATTGGCTTACTCGTTTAACACTTTCAGAGTTAAAGCTAAGCAATTACACGCTGATACAGTTTGTGTGTTTGTCGAAAGGAAGTAGGAAAGAACAACTGTATGAGAAGTGCTGTGTTGCATAGATCTGTGGCTGTGGAAACTACACAAGGTACGAATTGGAGTTGGACTGGAAGCCGCCCGATATCCAGGCTGATTACAACAACAAGAACGTATCACAAATCATCTTCCATTCCTGCTTCAACGACAAAGACTGCACGTTGGTTCTATACTCTTATCCTTATGTACAATTAAGCGTACTAAATCGAGCTGTGGCTCAATGCAACTTGTGGTTGGCGGGCAGATCTTCAGAGCGTATGCAGCGACCTCGATAGCATATCTCCGTCTCTGATGTGACTTTTGTTGATGTGGATGTGGCATAGACCACATGCTGCATCAAGTCTTTGTGAAATTTATCATCCTTTTTGTTCGAAGGCGATTCGGCTGTGGTCGCCACTGCTTGCGATGCAGCTTCTGTGGCTTCTACTGTCGTGCTGTCCGTGGGCTTTGTGCGATTAATGCTCGTATATTCCTGGCGACGTTTGCCTACGGCTGCCAACGCAGCGGTCACCGCCTGATCTTCGCTCTCATCAATGGAAAATAGAGTGTGCAGCTGCTTCTTCACCTCGGAGAAGAGACTGGGCTGTGTTTCGAGGTCGTCCACATCAACATCGGCTGCAGTATCCATGCGACGGGTGGCGCTCTCTCCCACAACTTCACTTACTGGCAGCATTGTAACCGTAGTGGTGACGTCTGGGACGACTGCTGTAGTTACTTCGTATTCTTCTGGTGTGCTTGGCTGCGGTGTCGTTGTAGTCACCAATGTGGGGACTGACTGGGTTGTCGGTGTTAGCGGTGTTGTTGCTTTTGGTACCTCCTCCGGTTTCTCGCTGGCATAGAGTGCATTATAAAGTTGTGGACCAAGATTTTGCGACTCAGCGGTCTCAAAATTTTCGTTGTTATCCGTGCCACTCGTAACACGATTCTTCTTCCATTTACCCCGTCGACTCAAGCGACCAAAGGTGGTGCTACTCGTCTCTGTTGTCAGCTCTTCTGGTGCTTTTCCCATAACTTCTTCAAGCAATTCAGCGAATGATTTTTCAGGTCTGTAATTAAAGCATACATAGTAGTACACGAAAAATCAAATAAAAATATTAGCTCTACTTACTTTAGGTTGGGGGCCTTTATCGTTGTGCGCTGCGATTGACTTGAAGACGGGGATCCACTAAGATTGGCAGCAACATTGAATTCGAAAGAGTCAGCTTCCTGGGTTGGACCGACAGTGACGATTTCGGGCTCATTGTCGAAATTATGCACGTCAGTTGGGGACGCTTCTTTTGGGTTGAGGGGCTTGAAACTGTTACTGTTGCTGTTGCTGCTTTCTGTGGCTGGCGACCACTGAGACTCCTGGCCCTCCAGCTGCAAAGATGGCTTGTATCGGCGACGCGAAGTCTGTATTGTCTGCGGGAAGATGAATTTTTAATATTTATACTTCTCATTCAATAAAATAGGCCGCTTGCCTCTTTGTCACGCTGTTCTTGGTTGTAGCGGCTGTACTTGCGAAGGTTTTGCTTTTGAGTTACTGGCTCGGAAGCTTCATTCGGCGAGGCAGTGGATGAGGCCGGATGGTGCGGACGACGCGTGCGTTGGCGCACCTTAACAACTCGACGCGGGGGAAGACGTGTACGGATCTTTAGTGGAAGAAAGATCATCATTGAATATTCTAATACAAAATAAGAAAGAAAAGGCAATTTAGGCACTCACTGATGGTCGTTCTTCTGCGACTGTTGTGGTTTGTGGTGCTTCCGTTGTCGTAGTTGTGCGCAATCTCGGATAGTTGCGGCGAATGAATGGCGATCTTCGGGTCGTAGTTGTAGGGGCCTCAGTGGTTGTGCGAGTTGTTGTGGTCGTCGTTGTTGTGGAAGGCGTTGTGCTAGCAACGGCAGTATAAATTGGATTCACCTCGTTGCGAACAATGGCTTCGGTGGGAGCCAAATCCTCTTGGTTGGGGAAGTACCCGGGCCCATAGTTATCCTTAAATTCGTTATAGTGCTGAGCAATCTGCATGGGCTCCAGCAAGCTGGCGGGAAACACATCCTGATCACCGTTGTCAATACTATTGCTGGGTGTCACCGTGTAAACCTGCTGTGACTCTGAAGCCGGACCTTCGGTACTACCCACATCATAGGAGCTAGGTATAGCGGTTGGACTGGTTGGACGACGAGTGCCTTTAAACACGGGGTAGTTCTGCTTCAGAACATCTCTCTGGTACTCTAGGTCTTGGTCTTCATTCTTGTTGCTCTTTTTGGAGCCTGTGTAGTGTTTCTTTGGCTTCAGCTTCAGCGACTGTCGCTCCTCGGGCGTTGGTTGATATCGGATGCGATTGGGATTGCGTAGGAGCGGATTACGTGCTGATGTTGGTCGCCGTGTAGCCAAATTGCTCGTTGTCTCTTCTTCATTATCTCCATTTTCTACTGCGGTAATGCCGGCACTGCCTCGCGTTTTGTATGGGCGTCTAATGCGGTGTGATTGTAGCTTGCTATTGGAGCTCTCAGACTCGGAGTAAGAGACGGATGAAGTCACTACCTTTGATACAACTGGCTTGCGTGTACGAAGCAATGGACGTCGCGTAGGACGCGATTCAGCATCCTGTTCGCTCACTGGGAGGGTCGTAGCCAGCTTTTCCTTTTCTTGCAGATTATTCACGAGTCCCGGAATTTCGGGCATTAGTGGCGGTAGTTCAGAGGGCACATGATAAGGGTTTGGCTCATACTCCAAGTTTGTGCTGTCTAGAACCTCATTCTGGTTGTATATTGGGCGGTGATTGAGTGGCAGTTGCTTCTGTGGCTCCACGTTGTAGCCAACGTCTGAGGTGGTCACTGGAATGGCAGCGGGCGTGTAGATTGTGACACGCTGCTTGCCCTTGGTGTTGGCCTTTTGTGTTGTTGTAGGTATAGCCTCATCACGACCATATTCAACGGAAACAGGAGTGTACTGGACTTGCTCGAATGGTGGGTTAGTGGTTTGTGGTCGCTGACGGAAAGCATCCTGCTGCCGGAAATACTGTTTCATGCGCAACTCTTCATCAGAGCTGCCTGAAATCGGCGGGCGGGTCGTAAGCCGAGGCAGATGTTCTTGAACAGGCTGAGCTTGAGGTGAGGTATCAAACTGCGGGTATAGCTGGCCATTGGTACTAGGGAACTCTACGTGAGGGCTAGAACTGTATGTGAAGAGCGTTTGAGGAGCTGCCGTTGTCGAAGTCGTCGACGTGGTGGAACTGGTCGAAGTTGACGTGGAGCTTGTTGTCGAGGTGGATGTGCTAGGCTTGTTCAACAGTGCATTGAAGTAGTCTTCGTTGCCTATTTGGTTAATAGTTTCGAAGGGGCTTTTAGTCGGCGGTCGGTAAGTGGGAGGGTCGACTTGCACATGCTGTGGGCGCTTTTTCTTTGGACGCTCCTGTTTAGTTATCTTGGGGGAAGTAACCTCCTGAATGGCGTCCTGGACGTAGAAATAACTGAACTTGTTTCCACGTCCCGGAGCTTGACTTGCGGGAGTGCGCTGCGTGGTTCCATCAAAGGGATTACGGGTGTTGGCTGGGCTTGCCACTGGAGCAACATATGGTCGCTGTGGTCGAGGAGGTGGTGCCAGGTCCTGCGTAGTAGCAAAGGATCCACCTTTGGCGCGATTGACTACAATAGAGCCAACATGCGGCTCAGGTAAAAGGATTTTGTTAAAGCCATTAGGCGTGCGATAGCTAAGGGGTGCTACGAAAAAGGGTATTTCACTTAGATCGCGCGAGTGTGCCAACTGGGAGAGGTAGGGCAAGTCGAATTTGACGTAGCCGTCGGGTATCGGCATGCCAGCAGGTCCAACAAATATATCTGGAGTTTGTTTGGTAGGTGCATCGATCACCGATATGGACTGGGCATTGCGCAAAGCGCTGACCACATCTGATTGCGATGGACGCGCGTTGGACCGCAACAGGAACATGGCTAGTGGCGGCTGATGAGCCTTTGGCTTGGGCTTAGCCGTGGTGAATTGTGGTTGCGCGTAGCTCTGGAACACGTTCTGAGGAAGTGCTGTGGTTGTTGTACTGGTGGTGCTTGGGCGCAAGGTGGTTCCAGGACTGTAGAAACTGTTGCCAACGCTGGGATCTTGCGTGTAAAACTGGTTGATTTGGTAGGGATTTACGGCTGGGAGGCCGGCATTGAGGTTGTACTTATTTACATTGTAGTTGTTACTGTTGCCTGACCCAGAATTTGACTGTTGTTGCTGCTGACGCTGCTGGTTGTAGAGCGTGTCATAGGGAACATAAAGCAACTGCACCTCTTGTTGTTGACCATTGACGCCTCCAGTTGAACCTCCGGCCGAATCAGCAGATGGGGCTGCCTTGTTCAAGTCAAACAGCGATTCTGGTTCTGGGTCCACGGGGAACACTTGCGGTGTTACACTTTGCAGAGATGGCTGCGTAGGCTTGGTATGCGTCTTGAGAGGCAAAATGTCGTCGACATAATTCTGTTGATGCAGCGGCTTGTGTGCCGTCAGTGCCTGAGGCAATGGCTTCTGTGAAATCGGATGGAACTCTGGTGGAAAGAGGGGCTGCTGTTGGCCAAATAGAGTGGGTGAGTTAAATATAGAAGCCTGAGAAGCTCCAGCACCACCAAAGGAGTGTTGAATTTGGTAGCCAGTCTGTAGTGTGGGTGGCGCCTGAGCTCCAGCACGCAAATTGTTGCTTCCATCGTTACGGAAAGGCATTTCGAACTTAAAAAAAGACTGTGATGTAGGCTCCTGCGGGCCACTTGACTTCAGTGCCTGCGGCACTTGTCGCAGTGGCTGTGCAGGAAGCGGTGCATTCGGGAACCGTTGAAATTGGAAGGGAAAATCAAATGGAGCGCCACCCGTTTGCGACGTCTTCGGTAGTTCTCCAAAACGGCCATTGGGTGGAAACGACTGGGAATAGGTGAGTACGCGGCCATTTGCCGAGCGATCTTTGCTGCCGTCCAGCGGCTGTGCCAACGGCACCCAGTCAAGCGAGTCCGTCTCTGTGGATTCAACAGCGTCCAGTTGCCTTGACCATTTTGGGTCTGTATCCTGCGCCCGTACAATAGTTGCCGTCAACAGCAGACAAAGCCAACCGGCAGCGGCGAGTTGATTATGTGGCGTCATGATTGATGTGCCTGCAATGAAATGCCAAAAATATTTAATAATTATTTAAACCAACCACACGTCCATATGTTTAAATATAAACTTTAAGACCTACAATTATAATCATTATTTTTGCATACGACTATTTGGGGCAATTGTTTTTTAAGAGTTCAATTCGTAAAGAGCTTAGAATTTTAAAAAACGCAAATAGAAAATACTAACCAAGCAAAAAAACAGAGGTTTTTATAAATATTGTTTTTCAATTTTTTAATATTTCTAGAATTTGAAATGGTTTCCACACCATAATGTTAAATAAATATTGCATAAAATGCTTGAAAAGATATTATAATTAGATATATGTAAGTACTACTTATACATACACATCTTGTATGTATGTATATGCATACTTTAAATATCATACGGTTTATCCTGACTGATTGATATATGTATGTAATAGTTTCTTTTTACGGTTTAAGCAACGCGATTGTACAAAAAATTCGAGCTTCAAATGAAACAAATGGGTCCCAACATTTATTTAAATCAGAATTTTTCATCCGATTTACTTCATTTTTTTTTCTAACATTTAGTTCGAGAACTGATGTAAAACTTGCTTAACCAAAGACTTTTGCTTCATCTGATGTTAATACCAACACATATTGCGTTTGAGTCTGCAATTAATTTTTATGAAACCGGTCAATTAGAAGCAGAACTTTATATAACAAGTTGCTTGGTATGTTGTGGCCCTCTGAGCGGTACAAGCGCTCTGTATATACATACAAGTACATACTTACATACACATTAATACATACTATACATACATACATACCAATACATATGAATATACCAGATCATTATTCAAATTGTTGTTCCCGCAGTAAATGTAATTGGCTATTGGACAACAACAACTTCAATAATAATAGCGATAATCGTGGAGGTGCCTTCATTTGGCCATTCCGATTTTTGTAAAATGCAAAAGAAAGTGTATTGTAATGAAAACGCTTATAATTTCTTTGCGGTCCATGCATGACGGCGTAACAAATTGTTGATCATTGAATACCGACTACCGATTACCAGTTGATATGTTTTGCATTGATTTCCTCATCTCTGAGGCGTATTAATAAATTACAATAAGTTGATGGTACCAGTTAATACACATATGTATGTATATCTGCCGTGGGGATCGGCGCATTGAGTTGCATCATCGAATCGGCCTGGCGACATCAAAATATAAGCAAGTACGCAAGCTAATACATACATGCGTGCATGTGTTTGTGCGTACAAGCATGTGCATGCAAAAGTTTGCTGGCGAGTGCGCCGAATTGGCTTCGAAACGAAAGTGAACTGGACGAGCAAGAGCCCCTCCCCCTTTAATGTTGCAGCCCCCGACGACTGCAGCGTATCACTTTCGTTTTCACTTTTCCAGTGAATTAATCCCGCACATGTTGTTACTTTTGTTGTTGTTGTTTTTTGCCATTAAAGTGAAAAATGCAGATACACACACACACACACACACACACACACAAGCATACATACATTTATAACGGATGTCGGGCCAGGCCCAACTGCAGCAACAATAAATGGGTTAAATGAAAGCAAAAGCAAAAACAACTTGGAAAGAGGCTGCAGAAAGGCTGTCTCGATGCCGACATTTTTAGTTTTGGCGAAAAATCGTAAGCGCAATAAAAACATTAAAACGGAACTCTTAGCAGTTAACGTTAACGTAACGGAGAGGCCAGCAATTGGCAGGTGCTTTGCTTTGCGCTGCTGGCACAGTGAAAGAAGAAGAAGAAGAAAGTTCATTGAGTCGCTGTTGCGGTTGCGCCACAGTCAGTTCGTTATGTTAGAGCAGGACGGCAACAAAATAATGGAAATTAAACAGAGTTGCGGCCAATTGCACGCGGCTGCAATCAAAAACTGACCACAACCATGGAAACCCGTTGCCAAATTATTGTTGTCACACCTGAGCGCTTTGTCTTTGCCAGACACAAAACAGACAGATACGATGGGCAGGCAGGCAGGCAGACAGGTAGACGGACAGACAGACAGACAGACAGCGACATTGGCCGACGTTACTGCCTGCACTTGAATTATGTATATATCTACATACACATACATATGTGTATATTTGTGTACGAGGCTCGATCAATAAATATCCAAGTTTGCAATCAGTGTCCGTTTTTGAACCTTTAAGGCTTAACTTACAATAAAAGAATTACAAGGATGCTTTAAAATTAAATCAGTTCTCAAATATCAACAAATGATTTTCAAAATATGTATATCCAAATGTAAGTCTACGTTCACACAATAAATATCCAAATGGTTCTTTGGTGTTACTTTAGTGGATTCGGGGAGAGGCCCTTTGGCAGATAGGCTATCAATTAGACTAGTTGGAAAGGGTTCGGCGGTTCGGCGAACGACATCAATTAATCACAATATTTCGTATGAAGTTTTTGGTTTACTAATTTTTACATGAGATATGTAAATGAAACGGCCGACAAATTTCGTGCTCTTGTATAGGTACGTTACTAGTATGTATTTTATTACTTCAATCAAATGCGAATCAATATTCCGCGGCGAATCCGTATTTGAAATTAAATGTTCTAAGCTTCCTTGTTTGCAAAGTAATTGCAAACAAGTCAGTAATTGCAAGTCAGACCGTAATTTAAAATGTCCTGAAGCTCAAATTACAATACCCGCCCTGTTCAAATAATGACTTCCAAAGGAACAGTTCCTTTTACAATATTTCGCTATAAAAGCGAAAAGAATACTGTGATTGGGGAAGTACTTCTGCAGGAAAAAAGAAAAGACACACTTCTCGTGCCTCTATTTTGGGCAGCCTTCCCTGTTTTGTAGGAATTGAAATGTAAGGATGCGGAACAAATTGTACACAAATTAAAAAAATGGGAGAAAGCGAGTACTTATCGATCGACCTTCGCAACTGGCATGCATTAGTATTCGTGTGGGCTGTCTCTGTAGGTGTGTGCTTTTCATCGAAAGTGAAATGTGACAATGCCCTCGGTTTGGCCGCTGGCTTATTGTGTAGCTGTAATATTTTCTTTGCCAAGTACTTGGCGTTGTAATGTTATTGTTTTCCCTTTCATTTCTCCATATCTTGCTGCATTTCAGCTCGCTCCACACAACATTTGAAAGAAAGTTACAATTGGCCGGCAGTTGGGGCTTTGGGCTGGCTTTACTGTCGTGTTTTCGTGGTTAACTGTTATGGATTAATTGCATTTGTATTTTTCGTTTAATTTAGTGATTGTGGTTAGACCATTGCGAGCGAGCGCTTTCAAATGAATTCGAAGATAAATCTCAATTAGAAGCCGGATGTATAATTGACTACATAAGTAGATGTACGAGTATGTATTCATGTAAGAGATCAAAGAGCAGAAAGAGGCAGGCTTTGCTCTGCTAAGCAGCTTACAATTCCAATAAATAATTGACACACATGTCCAAGTCATGGCTATGGCTAATGAACAATTGTCAAACAATAATAATTCCAAGAGTGCGTAGCTATGCATCGAATGGGATTAGGGGGGTCGACATTGACATTGTTTTCGACACTTTTATGAAATAAAACCGACACAAATTTTGGGAGTGTCCGCACACAAGGCATGGCAATTAATTGGATTACGAGTACCTGACCTGGCGGGCGGTAAACACACCCACCCACAGCTCGTCAAGGTTAAATTGAAAGTGGCTTGTAACTCACCATAAACAGCAGCGACTACAATTATAACAATAACGATAATGCAGAGTCGTTGAAGTCGTAGAGTCGCAGGTGTGAAAATTGAAAAGGTTGGAGCTGCAAAGAAAAATGCAAATAATGTTGAATTCAAGTTGGAAAAACATTTCAAAATCAAACGCCTAGGCGTTATAGCAATGCGGGTGAGTGTGGGTGTCATGCAAAGCAGCAGACGAATACGAATATGCCTTGTTAATTGCTTTGAGTTGAAAAATCAACGCCTCGCTGCCACGCTTTGCTGACTGAGGCTTTGGGTGTTAACTGAACAAGCTTCGTGTTTGTTTTGCAGTTGGCAAACGGAATTTATTGTTGACGTGAAATAAAAGTGGCAGTGCCTGCAGATACAGATACAGTCATTAAGACGTGCTGAAATAATCAGAGCACAGCAAACACATACATATTTGAACCATCACCATGGCCTGCAGCAGTCTGGTTGGCCGTGTTAGTGGAGGCTGACAGCAATTGGCTGAGCTGCTAAGGCTTGCACAAGCATTGGTAACAAGAATATGCGTATATCTCGATAGCACATTTCAACATTTCTGGCAAACGCCGGAGGCCCAACTGTGACTCAACTTGGCCGCCAATCAGTCGGCGCCCCTAACCAATTGTCAATAATTGCGCAAGCCTAATGCGAAGTAACTGGAAAAACTTGCACAAATGCGACCCAGAAAAGTTTGTCAACAAAAAAATATAATCACCGTTTAAAAAAATTGAAAGAAAAATAACGAACACAAAGGCATTTTTAATTAAGTTTTACTTTTGTTTTATGTCACACACAGGTTTTCTTCACAAGCCATTTCGCATAAGATAGTCATGTGTATTTTGCTATTATGCAGCTCTTGTCAAATTAATTAAGTAATTTGAATAAAAAAAAGCTCTGTTACACATTCGAGTTCACAGAGATCAAAGATATTGTCGCTCAGTTCAACAGCTGCCTTCTAGCAATTACTGAAAAGAGGCAAACATTTTGGCACATCAGAGCCTTTAAAGACTGTGAAATTGTTTAGCTAACAGGTCGCCACAGCCACTACGTTCAGCATAAGGCGATGGCAACGCATAATTTATTCACAGCGAGTCGTTGAACCCGACATTGGCGCAATGAACCAACCAGTCACTAAAAAGTTGTAAAGACACAATGAAATGCATTTATGGCTCTTGGCTCTTCAAATTGCCAGTGACTGCTTTCTTAAAACTGGAAATTCAATTTAACTGCAGTGGCGACTGGGCTTGCTAATCAGAAACCAGTGCAAGCTTTGCTTCAAAATTAAAGCCTTTA